AGACAGCAATGATCACAATGGTAAAGATGTTCAGATTGGGTACATAAGGATTGGGAGATTGGGTAGCAGTAGATACAGTGCAATTTTAAAGCAACAAGGTAAAAAAAAACTATGAAGATGAAATTAGGTACCTTTTTAGTTTTGTTTTTGAATGAAGGAAAAGTTGGACAGCTTTTCAATTCATTAGGGAGTGAGTTCCATAGACTGGGTCCCTTTATATGCATAGTGTTTACACAGATTAAGTTTGACTCTGGGGATATCAAAGAGATATTTATTTCTGGTGTGGTGATAATGGGTCCTATTACATCTGTCCAGGGAGAGTTTCAGAGCAGAATTTGCATTTAAGAACAGGGTTTTGTAAATGTAGTTGACACAAGAGAATGTGTGGAGGGAGTTAATATTTAGCATGTTAAGGGGTTTAAACAAGGAAGCCGAGTGTTGTCTGAAAGCAGAATATGTTGTTATTCGGATTAGCTGAATTTTGCTGGGTGATGATGGACTTGAGGTGGTTTGCAGTGGTAGACCCCCATGCACAGATACCATAATTAAGATAGGGATAGATTAGTGCATAATATAGAGAGATGAGAGCAGAGTTAGGAACATAATATCTGATTTTGGAGAGTATACCAACTGTTTTAGAGACTTTCTTAGTTATGTGTTGTATGTAATTACCTAAGTGTAATTACCTAAGTGTAGTTACAGGATGAGAGCTACGCTCGTGGTGTCCCGTCTTCCCAGCACTCTTTGTCATATAACGCTTTGAAACTACTGACGGTCTTGGCCTCCACCACCTTCTCACTTAACTTGTTCCAACCGTCTACCACTCTATTTGCGAAGGTGAATTTTCTTATATTTCTTCGGCATCTGTGTTTAGCTAGTTTAAATCTATGACCTCTTGTTCTTGAAATTCCAGGTCTCAGGAAGTCTTCCCTGTCGATTTTATCAATTCCTGTTACTATTTTGTATGTAGTGATCATATCACCTCTTTTTCTTCTGTCTTCTAGTTTTGGCATATTTAATGCTTCTAACCTCTCCTCGTAGCTCTTGCCCTTCAGTTCTGGGAGCCACTTAGTAGCATGTCTTTGCACCTTTTCCAGTTTTTTGATGTGCTTCTTAAGATATGGGCACCACACAACAGCTGCATATTCTAGCTTTGGCCTAACAAAAGTCATGAACAATTTCTTTAGTATATCGCCATCCATGTATTTAAATGCAATTCTGAAGTTAGAAAGCATAGCATAGGCTCCTTGCACAATATTCTTTATGTGGTCCTCAGGTGATAGTTTTCTATCTAGAACCACTCCTAGATCTCTTTCTTTATCAGAATTCTTTAAAGATTTCTCACATAATATATAGGTTGTGTGGGGTCTATGTTCTCCTATTCCACATTCCATAACATGACATTTATTAACATTAAATTCCATTTGCCAAGTGGTGCTCCATATACTTATTTTGTCCAGGTCTTTTTGAAGGGCATGACAGTCATCTAAATTTCTTATCCTTCCTATTATCTTAGCATCATCAGCAAACATGTTCATATAATTCTGTATACCAACTGGTAGATCATTTATGTACACAATAAACATCACTGGTGCAAGAACTGAACCCTGTGGTACTCCACTTGTGACATTTCTCCATTCTGATACATTGCCTCTGATTACTGCCCTCATTTTTCTATCAGTCAGAAAATTTTTCATCCATGATAGAAGCTTACCTGTCACCCCTCCAATATTTTCCAGTTTCCAGAACAACCTCTTATGTGGAACTCTGTCGAAAGCCTTTTTTAGGTCCAGATAGATGCAGTCAACCCAACCATCTCTTTCCTGTAATATCTCTGTGGCTCGATCATAGAAACTGAGTAAATTCGATACACAGGATCTTCCAGATCGAAAACCATACTGTCTGTCTGATATTATATCATTTCTCTCTAGGTGTTCTACCCATTTAGTTTTGATTAGTTTTTCCAATACTTTCACTATTACACTTGTCAATGATACAGGTCTATAATTGAGGGGGTCTTCCCTGCTGCCACTTTTGTAGATTGGAACTATGTTAGCCTGTTTCCACCCGTCTGCTACGATTCCTGTACACAGGGATGCCTGAAAGATCAGGTGAAGTGGAATGCTGAGCTCAGATGCACATTCTCTCAGAACCCATGGTGAAACGCCATCTGGGCCAGCTGCTTTGTTCTTACCGAGCTCCTTGAGCATTTTTTCCACTTCGTCTCTAGACACCTTTATGTGTTCTATGTTGTTCTCTGGAATTCTTATTGTATCTGGTTCCCTAAAGATTTCATTTTGTACAAACACACTTTGGAACTTTTCGTTTAGTGTTTCACACATTTCCTTTTCATCTTCCGTGAATCTATTTCCCATTTTCAACCTCTGAATATTATCCTTTACCTGCAATTTGTTGTTTATGAATTTATAGAATAGACCTGGTTCTGTTTTACATTTGTCCGCAATCCCTTTTTCAAAATTTCTTTCTGCCTCTCTCCTCACTGCCGTGTAGTTGTTTCTTGCATCTTTGTATCGCTGGTATGTTTGGGGGTTCGGCCTCTTCCTGTATTGATTCCATTTTTGTGTCTTTCGGTCTCTAGCCCTCTCGCAATTTCTATTGAACCAATCCTGTTTCCTAGTTCTGCATCTCTGTTTTGGTATAAATTTTTTTTGTGCCTTTATCATATATTTCACAAAACTTGCCATACATCTCATTCACTTCCTTGCCTAGCATCAAGTCTGTCCAATTATACTCACTAAAAAAATTTCTAAGGTCACCATAATGTCCTCTCCTGAAGTCTGGTTTTTCAACTGCTTCAACCTCCTTATTTTCTTCCAGCTTATAACGCATTGCATACTTTATTCCCAAAAAGACATGGTCACTTTTACCCAAGGGAGGAAGGTACTGAATGTCAAATATCTCTTCCTCCTTCCTGGTAAATATCAAATCTAGCATGGAGGGAACGTCCCCTTCCCTCATCCTCGTAGCTTGTTTAACATGTTGATACAAGAATGTTTCCAGGATGAGGTCTACAAATTTACAGGTCCAAAAATCTTCTGTTTTAGCTTCATATGCTTCCCAGTCTATGGATTTCAAGTTGAAGTCACCGACTATCAACAGTCGTGATCTATCGTTATCCGCTCTCGCTATAATCTCTCTCATTATTGTTATAAGACCTTCACGTTTACTATCTAGCTCCTCCTTTGACCATGTGCTGCTTGGCGGTGGACTATATGCATTTATCATCATTAGTTTATCATCCTCATAGCAGATCTCTAGTGCTATTATGTCAACTTCTTGTGGATTGGCAGTCATTATTTCCTTCACCTTTAGGTGTTCTTTTACCAGCACAGCAACGCCACCGCCTTTCCTAATTTTTCTGTCCCGTCTCCAAATTGAGTAGCCCCTTGGGAATATGACCTCATTTAAAATTACATCTTCAAGTTTTGTCTCCGTGAGTGCAACAATGTCTGGTGTCTGCAGCTGTATTACATCACTTAACTCCAGTATCTTCGATCTCACTCCATCTATGTTGGTGTATGCAATCTTCAGGAACTTGTTCCCCCTCTCCTTATTCTTCACTTCCCCCCTCGCTATTGATTTTGTTGGTTTGCCTTTATGTACCACTTTACTGGTTTGCCTACCCCTATCACTTTGTAGAAAAAAGAATTTATTTCTTCTTCATTCCTGCTCTCATTTAAATGTTTTGCCTCGGCGAGGTTCAGTTTCAGCTTCTCTCTATCTTCTTTTGAAAGATCTCGTCTTAACGACCACCCTTTCCCATCCTCATCCCTTTGCAATTTTCTAGCATTCCTTAGTACTTCTTCCATCTGTTTGGCACCGTTTAGGGTGATCCTCAAAGGTCGATCTTTCCCTTTTACGTACCTGCCTATTCTCCTGTAGTCGCACACATTCTCTCTGTTTGTAAGACCTTCCACGAGGCCAACAATTTTATCTACTACTTTAGCTTCTTCTACAGCTCTTTCTGACCTAGATGTTATCGCCTTTTCTTTGCAGCCAAAAATGATCAGGGACTTACTCCGGTCAACTGTGTTTTGCACCAACTTCGGGTTAGATGCCAATTCTTTCCTCACTTCTAGCCTAATGTTTGTTTTATCTTGGTTGCTGCAGTGTTTGACTTCCTTTACTGCTTCTATTTTTTCCTTCTCCTTGGCCACTTGTGCATAAGTGAGTTGCATATCTTTCTTGCACTGTTCTATTCCCTGTGTAACTTCCTCCATCTGTGCTGACAAAAGCTGTTTCTCCTGTTGAATTTCCTTGCCTAACCTATTGTAGTCATTTATGTTTAAATTTACTTTAACTTCTTCCAAAGCTATTTTTAAGAGTTTATTTTCTTCTTCCATGGCTTTGCAATTTGTTTCCAATTGATTCTTATCCTTGTGCAAGTCTTTCACTAAACCCTCAAGACATAAAACTTTGCTATTCAAATGGTGGTGCTGAATGTTGAGTCTCTTGTCTAGGAACAGACCAAGAAACTTTCCATCATCCATAATGAGTAATATAATAATGATAATATGTATTTACTTTGCATTACTCATTTCCATAATGAGTAATGGAATGTAAATACATATTACCAATTCTTAAATTCACAGTGAAATTACAATAATGTGATATTTCTATGACCTACTATTGGTTTTAACAGCTTTGCAAGAATGTAACACTCGGGCACTAATGTACTAGTATATACTTTAACAACCTGATTTACCCTCTTGTATATAAATAAATATATAAAAAAAATAAACTTTTGAAGTGAGCCAGGATGCTGGGTTGATCCCAACATCCTTCTCAGTGATTTTATCGTTTAAGACCTGCCCAAAATGCTCTGCATGTTAGTGGCTTTGCATGAATGTAAAAAACACCAATCTTATGTAATCTCACCAACTCATTGTACCTTGCAAATAAATTATTATTATTATTTGTTAGCATTAGTGAACTATATTTTTCCAGCATGCTAACCTTTATGACTGTGTGTGTGACAGGTGCCAGTTTGACGCGTGTGGGTGTGACACCGGCGGAGACTGTGAGTGCCTCTGCACTGCCATAGCCGCATATGCTCATGAGTGTAACATACATGGAGTTTACATCAAGTGGCGAACGCCCAAGTTATGTCGTGAGTAATTTACACATTTATTTCTTATTTTACTGATTTTTTTTTTATTTTGTTGATTTGTTGTTTTTATTAAAAGCTGTACTTCTCTCAACCAGTTTAAAAGAGAGATGAAGAAATATTTACTTAATGTCATGTAATTATATATTGTTATAATCAATATCATGTACAGTAACTATTTTCACTCACATTTTCTCTTGTAATAAGTCTTTTTGTGTTACTCTTATCTTTTTACTCTTTTTATTGACTAAGAATTATGTACTTTCTCCTTCTATTCAGTGGGATCTCAAAAGTTTGGAGCTCATTATAACAGAATCGTTAAAAATTAGGAAAGCGTTTGCTTCTGTTTTTAGACAGTTCTGTTTGGTATAATATGTATGTATGTACGTTATTTATGAGTGTATGTTTAATGATATGTGGAAGACTGGCTGGCTGGAATTCATAATTCTTTGGCTGGTTATATAGTGTCCAAAAAAAATCAAATTCAAATGTTTATTTAGGTAAAGTACATACATACAAGGGGTGATACAAATATTGATGAATTTATAGATAGAGCTAGTACATACAATGCCTAAAGCCACTATTACGCAAAGCGTTTCGGGCAGGAAAAACACTAAAGACTAAAATTTAATACTAATTAAGATTAAAGTATAAAATGTGTTGAGAAAATATAAAAATAAAAAAGGGGGAACATGGCAGAAATACAATTTGGTATTGTAATTAATAGGTAGGCTGTTTTAGTTAGCTGGACAACTAGATGGTTTAATTGCTAGATGACTAGCTGATTAACAGACTAGCTTGTTGACTGAGTAGCTGCTTGACCTACCGAGTTTGATAGACAGAATGTAGTAGTCACTGTTAAATAAGTACTGACAGGTACAAGGGTGGGTGGCACACTGTTTACAGGACTATGTACAGGTCATGGACTGGTCAGCTGTAACAGAGTTCAGCTGACACTTCCTTCTCTATTTTCCTATCCACCTTTTCTGTATTTCTTTCCCTCTCTCCTTCTCCCTCTACTTTGCTATAGGGGTCAAGAGTCGGCTAGCTAGACTTGCTATTGCTGGTGCTGGCATGTCATTTTTATTAAACACTATCTAAAATTAATTGCCACTCATATACCAGCCTTCTTCAAAGGTATGTGATCATGAGCTGGACCTACTCAGAGTTTCCTCGAACCCATTGTTGATGTGATGACTTATATTGAATTTTGTAACTAGCTCATCAAGATTGTAACTTGCTTAGCTAAATGAATTGTGGGGTTCAGTCCCTGAGCCCATTATGTGCCTCTGTAACCCTTTCCACTACTGCCCACAAGATGGGTATGGGGTGCATAATAAATGAACTAAACTAACAGTAAGCACTTGGTCACCAGGGCAGGTGGTGAGATGGGAACTACGCTTTATACAAACAATCCGGTCTCCTACACCCTTTCTCTCCTTTCTCTTGTTACTTCCAAAATTCTTCCCACTTTCCTTTCTTCCTCCCTGTTACTTTCTCTTGCTTTCTGTCCTTATCCCCTCCCTTCAGAGGTCAGCGTGTGACCCGGGGCAGGACTCTACCTTTCACAAGTGGAACTTAGATTAATGACACAAAATTCTTCAAGGAGTTGCTAGAGTGAGAGTAAACCAAAGCAGAAATACAGTGCAAATCAAGGGTCTCAAATTGTGGAATGACCTCCCAATTGTAATTAAAAGCTGTACTTCTCCCAACCAATTTAAAAAGAGCGATTAAGAAATATTTACTTAATGTCATGTAATTATTGTGTTATAATCAATACCATGTACAGTAACTATTTTCACTCACATTTTCTCTTGTAATAAATTATTTTTGTGTTATTCTTATCTTAAATTTTTATTTACTAAAAATTATGTACTTTCTAAATTTATGGTCGTCTAATTTCTTGCATTTTTTTTTGTTAAAGTGTTTACGCATGTCCTTCATGATCCTTGTTTATTTTTAGTGTTGGCCCCATTAATGCTTAAATTACTATACTGTATCTGTATTTTCTCTTATGTTCCAAAGACAATGTTATGAGAAAGAGTCAGCTGCTTTTTTAAACTGCACCTTGTATTTCCATTCTGTTATGTAAATAAACTACTGTACTATTGCTACATCTGCTGACTCCATAATGTAATAGTCTATGCCTGTCAACCTTAAGTATCACCTTTTTTTGCATTCATTTTCTATTTTCTATGTTTGTTCTCATTTTGTTAGTTTACTTCTCTTATAAACTAACCTCTGGAGGTGTTTATCAAGTTTTCTCTTTAACACCATGAGTGGCCGGCCAATTATACCCCTTGTGTGTAGAGAGAGTGTTGAAAAGGCTTGGGCCTTTGATGTTAACAGAATTTTCTCCTAGTGTACCTACTAGTATGGTTATTTTTTTTGTTTAGTGTTGTAGTTTAGGCATTTATTTATGTTTTTCTACAGCAATGCAGTGTGATGAAAGCTGTGAACATTATGAGCCCTGCATTCCCACTTGCACTCAAGTGAACTGTGACACGCTGCTCGACCCCAGCTCTCCTATCTGTACACAGGATGCTTGTGTTGAAGGTGAGGCAGTTGCAATTGTATTGTCAACAGCTAGGAATGTTTTTATCCAAACTAAATGTGTATAGTACTCAAAATAGTGGCAGGGGTAACAATCACAACAGGAACTACTGAGAAGTATTTAGCTTTTACGTAGTGCCTTTGTAATAGGGTCATATGTCACAACCATGTAAACCATCTCACCAACTCATTCACTCACTCCTTAACTCTGCCAAGCTATAAGTAAATAAATATTGACTATCTCACCACATCTAACTTTTGCACAGAAAATAAATGCCCTACAAAGTCATTGATGTGGACAGAAAAAGTGTTAACACAGATTGGTCTCTGGCCAGAGAAGTCTGCATATAGTGCTTGAAATTGGTGCATAAATGTTGAACATTAGCTAATTTGTATTATGTAAGAATGGCAAGATTTGGGTGAGAAGATAAAGTTTGTGAAAGCTAATGAAATATTTTTGAGATTGTAGGGGATTAAGCTATATAAAAGAGAATTCGTACAATAAGATTACTGGAAAATGTAAGTGGCCCTCAGGAATTTACTTGAGGTCCACTGACACTGTAGTGGCCTCAACAAGGACAGGAAGCTGGCAGTTTATGAAAAGTACCTCCATTTGTCCTGATGATTTTTTTCAAGCTGGATTTTAAAATTCAACAGTGTTTTGGCATTTACAGTTTCAGCAGGTATGCCATTCCATGGGTTTATAACCCTGTGGGTGAAAGAAGTATCTCTTGATTTGTTTACCCTATCCCTAAATATATACCTATTCATAAGTATAAGTTATGTGGAATTAACCGGAACATTTAATTACTTGCACTAGTACAGTACTTCTGTAAACTTTGGAGTAACCATATAATTATTAATATAGTTACTACATTACTATATCAAGCCTGTGATTCATTTGATTTTTGTGACTACCATTCCATTAGGCCTGTCAGGGGACAGTGTACTTCATAATAGTTAAATTTAGGATGTGCATAAAACTTGTTCTTCTTAAATTTTCATTACATTTTCTATACTCCATTCTAGGTTGTGCCAAGGATATTTGCCCTCCAGGCCAAGTGTACAAAAGTTCCACTGATTTGGAATGTGTTCCAAAAGCTGACTGTGAGAAAAAATGCATGGAAATAGATGGAAAAGTATATATGGAAGGGGATACCATTTCCCAAGATGACTGTCACACTTGGTGAGTCTTTACAGTTTTTGGTGAAGTGTATTAGAAATTTCATGCATGTAAAATATCAGTGCACCCTCTTATGAGACTTTCAAAGTACAGTACTGTGTTCAGAATCTCATTTTTTGCAACATTGGACAACAAACTTTTTAAATTAAATACAGTAATGACTTTCAGATTTTTCAACAGGCTCTAAATGCTGTATATATATTGCCAAATAAAACAGCCTCATGGGTCTATTTGTTATTAAATTTATAGGCCCTTAAAGCTGCATGTTAAATGAGCTCCTGAATTAGGATTGCATGTACCTCATATATAGGTGGTGCTCTGGCAGGGGTAGCTGGGTCTGTGAGGGTATGAGCAGTATACGTAATAATGATTATAATATTTTTATTTTTATTTGTATTATTAATAATAATAATAACAATAATAATAATACAGTGGAACCTGGAGTGACAAGCGACTCCAGTTATGAACATTTCGAGTAACGAGCAAGCCACTCGCAGGAAATTTGTCTGGACTGACGAGCTTTTGCTCGATTAACGAGCATTCCCGCTGGTTCTCGGACACCTCCGATGACAGTTTTGTTGTTGTTTCGCAAGACCAGTTTTCCACATGACGAGCTCGGTGCCGGAACGGATTAAATTCGTTAATCGAGGCTTCACTGTAATAATAATATTACACAAGGAAATCACACTAACTTAATACTGTATATCAATGAGAAAATCAGTTGGAGCAATGTGGAGATTCGAACCAGCAACCTGGGTATATACTCCAAGCCATGCACCTTACCCCTGGACTATGACAGGGTAAAGGTTATACAACCTGGGATTCCTCTGAATCCACAGGAAGTCTGGAGCCCCCAAGCTGAAGCCAGTCCAAATTTTTACATATAAGCCTCATGCACTTTGGGGTCAACAGTGAAATTCTCGACATATAGCAGAGAACTCCATTACCTACACCAGAGTGCATGAGGGTTACATGTAAAACTTGGACTGGCTTCAGCTTGGTGGCTCCAGACTTCCTGTGGATTCAAAGGACTCCCAGGTTGTATAACCTTTACCCTGTCATAGTCCAGGGGTAAGGTGCATGGCTTAGAGTATATACCCAGGTTCCTGGTTCAAACCCAGCTTTTCCCAAATTGATTTTCTTAATAATAATAATTTACCTGAATTTTACCTGAAGGCCACTAATACTAATGGCCTTGATGAGGACAGGAAGCTGGCGGCTTGTTGAAAGTCTCCTCATTTGCCTTGATGATCTTGTAATAATAATGTTATTATTTGTAATACTGTATAATAATAATTATAATATTATATTTCTAAAAATATTATAAAGGGTTTGAAGTATAATTTTTACATAGTAGGTACAGAATTTATATTTGTATAAAACTACTAATGACACACCATTTTGTGTTTGCCAGTTTAACATATTATTAATATAATATACTGTACATGTCCACAAATCTCAGTGCTAAGAAACTGCTTACACTCAGTAGACAATATTGAAAATAAGTTACAAGAGCTTCTTGGTATTATGGTGAGGATTCATGAAGACAGAAATTATTAACAGTTGCTCCTTCTCTAATTGCTAGACCGGTTCCTTGTGCTAAACTAATTCTTAAATTTTAACTAATTGCCCACCCATTGATAATACAGTAAGTGTTATTGTATTTGGTGAAGGGTTACCCAGCCTACACCACTCGCCCCCTCTCACGTGAGTACGTGTGTACGTTCACTGGCATTCCTGGAAATGAAAGACAGGGCATGTCTCAAATATTACAAAAGTAAATATAAAGCATATACTGTAGCTTAATAAATCAGAAATTTTGGTTCAAGTTTTATTCTCTTGTTGCTTTAATTTTGAACTCAAAGGAAAATTTATCAAATAATTTCTATTATTAACCTTGCTTTCTATTTTTAAATTTATCAAAAAATTTCTTTATTTTAATTTTACATAAATTATTTATTATATATATTTATCTTTTTACTGTATTGGGAAGAATGCAACAGTGAAAGGAGGCATAGATATATCTGCCTGAAACGCTATGCATGTTAGTGGGTTTCCAAGAATGTAAAAACATCAATGCTATGTACTCTCATAAACCAAATTTACCTTTTTGTATATATAAGTAAATAAATAAATAAAAAATAAAAGATATTGCTAACAAATCCGCTTAGTGAGTTCAGTGGAAAAACACTTTTATTGACTTAATAATGTATATGCAAATTAATGTGGGAAATGAGATGCATATTATGAATATGTAATCACTTGATTCTATTTGCAAGGACTGAACTCACGAATGTGGTTGGTATAAATATTGCCTTCAGATTTGGGCCAATTGCAAAACTCTTAATATGTTTTACATTTCAGTTCCTGTTCGCGTAAACAGAAAATTTGTCGTGGAACTCCTTGTGTATCATCCACAACCACTACCATGAGCACCAGCACCACTCCTGCCAGAGTTACCACACCTGAGCCATCCACTTCTACACCAGATGTTCAAGTGGGCGAATGCAGAGATGGATGGTCAGAATGGATTAGTGAAGACAAGCCGATCATCTTCAGACAGAACTCGGACACTGAGAGGGTACCTGAGAAGATAAAACAAGTAAGTACTATATATGTTTGAACTGGTAATACTGTATGGATAAGAAAACAAATTATATATATAAATTTTATATTCAGTGGCACCTTTGTTTACAAATTTAATCCATTCGAAGAGATGGTTTGTACACCAAAAATTCGTAAACCAAAAAAAATTTTCCCATAAGAAATAATGTAATTTTTTTTTTATTGATATATACAATAGTTGTCACATTCTTGAACAGCCACTAGTACGCGTAGCGTTTCGGGCAAATCCTTAATCCTATGTTCCCTGGAATACGGCCCCCACGAAGAATCATTTTTACAACCAAGTACCTGTACCCATTTTACTGTTGAGTTAAACAGAGGCTACAGTTAAGGATTTACGCCCAGTAAATCCTTCCCGGCCAGGATACGAACCCAGGACAAAGCGCTCGCAGAACGCCAGGCAAGCGTCTTACCACTACGCCATGGAGACTGATTAATTGAATTAATCTCTGCACACCCAAAGATATTAACTTAAAAGTACATTTTACACAGAATACTACTCATATTTTTTACTATACCCTGTATCTTACCTTTATTGAGGACTCTTGTTGATGAATGGAAGACAGTGAGGAGGGGGGAGGGGGGCCAGAGGAGGAGAGGTGTTAGTGTTTGGAAGAGGAGTTCCCCTTCCATTATAGCATAAGGAAGTGATGACATTTCTGGGGTACTCTCTCTCCTACGTTTTGCAGGCATACCAAAAGGACCTGGTTGTGGCTCACTGCTTGCTTGTCTTACTAAGAATCTGTCTATAGACACTTGTTTTTTCTGTGGCGGTTCACGTTCAGGGGGTGTCAAACTTCCTGGCAGAGAGCCTTTCTCGGTTCATTCCCCAATCCACGGAATGGACGGTCGACATTGACTCGTTCAGTTGGCTCTGCCAGAAGTACAGGTGCCTGGCGGTGGATATCTTTGTATCGGCGTGGTCGAGGCGTCTTCCATTGTATGTGGCACCCTTCCCAGACTGCGAGGCTGTCGAGGTCGATGCCTTTTGGTTGGACTGGTTGAGGTGGAGTTAACTGTACCTCTTCCCATCGCTGTTGTTGCTCCAGATTCTGGCTTGCTTGGAGACTTACCAGGGGAGAGTAGTTGTGTTGGCCCCTTAGTGGCCGGCCCAGCCCTGGTTTCAGGTACTTCTTGTACGATGTCCAAACCCGAGGGTCTACCCGCGGCTCTGCTTCTTTCAGCAGATTGGCCTGGTATGGTTCGTGACTGGTTTGATCTTCTCCCCTCTTAGCGTCTGGTCTTGATGCGGGTTTATCACCACTCGTATGGTAATCAGGTGGCTTCGTTGATGGTGTCCCACCTGCGAGTTTTGTCTCGCCGGCAATATGAAATTTCCTGGCGGTCTTTTCGGCACTTTTTGTCTTTTAGTAGGTTGTGTTTAATTTCTGATCGGGTTGTTTTGTTTACTCACCCTTCTTCTCTAGGACGGGTCTTCTCCGTCGGGTCGGGGTCATGTTCCCCTCTTCTCGGGGTTCTGCATGACTTTTGGTCTCGGGTGCAACTATGCCTTTATGTGCCTTCGTGATTTGTGCTTACTTCTGTGTGTTCTCGAAGGTTCGGGAAAGTTTTCGCTTCTTCCTGTATTATTGGAACGTCTGTCGTCTTCCGGTGTGGCTTACCTCCAGTCCTTTCTAGGGTTCGATGGTCCTCTTCCATGCTTCTTCTTGGTTTTCGGTCCTGTCTTGTTCTTTTGTAATTATCTTCTCTCCCTGCTCTGTCTCGGCACTGCTCGTTTTCTTTAAATATTCCTAGTTGGCATCTTCCTGCCAAGTGGGTTGTGCAGTTCGGACCTCATGTGTCCTGCGCATGCGCCGTGGGAATTTGTTTTGTTTTGGGCAGTGTACACAGGTGCTGGTGCTCTGCGTCCTTTTTCTCTCAGGTGCTTCGCCTCTCGCTCCTCTTATCTCTCCAGTCCGTACCTCGTAGATACTGGGGGTGTTCTGGATTGCCACTATAGGGAGGATGCCGGGTTTTCCCTGCATATGGGTGTGGGGCACCGTATTCGCCTCTACCCTACTCTTTTGCATGTGCGGCTCTGTGGCCTTATTCCACTGGCAGTGCTCCCAGAATCTTCTCGGCTACGTTGTGTCGTGACACGTTTGTGTCTATGTTCTGCAGGTGAGTTTATGTGGTCTGGCGTCTCTTTCGGCCAGGCACTGGTTTGTGGTTTTTGGATACGAATATAAGAATAAAGGTGATTGCAGGTGGCCTATTGGGCCATATGTGGCAGCTCCTATTTATACCCATACAGTCCCACTCATATACGTGTCCAACCCATGTTTGAGTCAATTACGGGGCCCCACCTCCGCCATGTTACGAGGTATAATGGAGGTAAATGTTACTGTGTCAGGATGTTATGAGGTGATATTTTGCTTCAGTTTTGATACTGGGGATGCATTTTGGGGATTGGTTGTGGCGTTTTGTTTGGCCCTTGTGTGCTTCTTCCTGGGGGCTTCCTTGTTCATCTGTGTTATTTGTTACACGGTGGGTCACGGCCCCATTTTTCATGGTGTTGGTCACTCATTCCTTGCCCATCTTGCAGTGCCTGGCTGAGCCCTTCCATATACATTGGATTATCTGTACTCACCTAGTTGTCCTCACCTAGTTGTGCTTGCGTGGGTTGAGCTTTGGCTCTTTAGTCCCGCCTCTCAACTGTCACTCGCCTGACATCTACATGGCCTCTGTACTTACATAGTTGTATTTATCTAGTTGAGCTTGCGGGGGTTGAGCTCTGGCTCTTTGGTCCCGTCTCTCAACTGTTAGTAACCTATTGTACAGGTTCCTGAGCCTACTGGGCTCTATCATATCTATGGCTCATTTGGGCACTCAATTTCTACCTGTGGTTCCCTAGTACGTGTGCTCCTTGTGTTAAATAGTCTGTCTTTATCTACCCTTTCAATTTCTCTGAGACTCTTGTATGTGGTGATCGTGTCCCCTCTAACTCTTCTGTCTTCCAGTGATGTGAGGTTTAATTCCCGTAGTCTCCTCATAGCTCATACCCCTCAGTTCGGGTACTAGTCTGGTGACAAACCTTTGAACCTTTTCCAGTTTAGTCTTGTTGTGTTGGGACATGACCGACAACTCTGTGTGTTGTTGGCATGACTTGTTGGGACATGACCAGCAGCTGTGTGTGTTGTTGGTCATGACCCTTTTGTTCCCGTTTGCTGCCTGCCTTCCTCATCTTCCTTCTACACTCTTGTCTCTAGCCGCTGGTGCTGGGGCTGTTCTAGTCTTTTTCTTGCATTTTTCTGTTTTTCTCATTTTATCCTACACAGTGTTGTGTGTTTTGTATGTGCCTTTTGGCTCCTACTGCTAGGTTGGGTTTTGGCCATGTTCAGTTCCCTGCTGATGCACCACTCCTGTGTTTGGTTCTTGCCTGGCTTGCTGGGTTTGGGTTCCTGGTTTCCTGGCTTCCCCTGCCAGTTGGCATTTTCAAGGTCTTGTGGTGTCCCTTCTGTAAAGACACACATCAGAACCATAGAGTCTCCAATCTCCTGGCGAGCTTGCTGGCGTTGGGAAGTTTTCTGTACGGCAGACGTTCCATCTCCTTCCTTGCCGGCTTGGGTTTCCGCCTCTGCTTGCTCGGTGATTGCACCCAAGATCTTCCTGCGGCTCCGCCTCTTCCTAGGCTTGATTGGTCCATGGCGTGGCTGGTTCGGTTCTGACTCGAGTCTCTCACCATCTGTTGGTCAGGTGGCTTCATTGATGGTGTCCCACCTGTGTGCTTCTTCTTGGCGGCGGTGTGGGGTTTTTTGGTGGTCCTTTCTTTTTCTTTCTGTCCCTTCTTAGGTTTGCTGCATTTTGTTGGCATGGTCTTGCCCTTCTCTTGTGGAGATTTGGGGCCATCATCTTGCCACATACTGTCGCATTGTCTTGTGCAGTGCTGGTGGAGCCATTCTGGGTCGCTTCGGTTTTGGAGTTACCTCTGCACCGCTTCGCCAGCCACCTCTTGCTTGGTTCACCTCCGGCCTGCTCTTGCGCCACTTGAGCCGTCCTGGTTTTTGGATTGTGGGCGGTCTTCTCTTCTCTTCGGTTTGTTGTGGTCCCTTCAATTCTGGATAATTTTTTCAAGGCTCTTTTCTTGTGGGCGTTGGCCTCTGGGGGTCGGGTAGGGTGCTTCATGCCCTCCTCCGGCGCATGGGTTTTGGTTCTTTTGATTCTTCTGATAGGTTTGTTCGCTTGCAGCCGTCTCCTTCTTTTCTGGTGAAGACTGGCGCAGCTGCTTTTCGGAGGGGTTTTTGGGTTGTTGATACTTGGTTGGTCTGGTCGGGGGTGCATCGTGTGTTGTTCGGTTGCGGCACTTCGCCGTGCTTGGCATGCCAGGGCTGCCGTGTCCGGGGTCACGCTTTGGGTTGGCAGTTGTAGTTTTGTCTCCGTTTCGCATTGGGGTGTGTGCGACTTCCACCTCCCGGGTTAGGTCCCTTTTGTTTTCATCTTTGGGTAGGTAGCTCCGGGGAACCGACAAGGCTTCCCCCAGAAAACCAGCATTAAATGTAATGAAATGCCATTTTCTGGGTGAGTCCCAGAGTCTCCCCAGCATCTCTCCCTCCCTCCGGTCGGCAGTTTTTGCGTGTTTTGATGTCCAGCCTCAGAACTGAGAGGTGGATAACCGGTGCGGGAATCTGGGGCTCCCCCTTCCCCCTCCCAGGGAGGGGGGAGCTGCGTAGACAGCGGCGTGGCGACGTGTGACATCATACTCGTTTGCTTGTTTCTGTTTGGGGAGTTCTATCCACTTGTTCAGTTTTTTGTAGCAATTTTCACCAGAATAGGGGTTTGTTTTGGGATGCCTACCTTTCTGGGTTCCTAACCCAATTGATGGCAGACATAGAATGCTTACAACCACATGGAGGTTTATATAGGCCATTGCTCCTCGTGCCTCTGTGAGAGAGGGGGACAGGTTCTGGCTTGTAGTCCCAGGTAGGCCCACAGAACTCCATACACATGACTGATGCCAAAGTCTGACATTTGCATATCAGCCTGGATAGCTCCGGGAAGCCTCTGGGACTCAACCAGAAAATGGCGTTTCATTACATTCAACGCTGGTTTTTTGGTAATATGTCCTGGGCCGACATTTGGACACTGGGCTTTTGGGGGTCGAACAGGGTCCTGGCCGCTCGGTACATCATTAATGTTCTTTGACATTGGTAGAGCTGCTAATACTTGCATTCAAGTGTTGATATAGCTTCAGCACCATTCCACAAGTTTTCTTGAACTTTTTTTCAACACTGCAATGGTCCCATGCCTTCTGAGTCATTTTGGTCTCTGAACCATGTCCTCACTTATTCTCACTGCTTCAGAAAGCCCCAGTGGCTCTCTGACTCCTTCCCTTTCTACCAAGATCATTGGTTGGTGGTTGTAGGTTGTCACATCTGTTCCAGAACTGACTTGGGAGTTTTAGGGAGGGCTGGGGCTCTGCAGCCTCTCCCCCCTCCCCTTGATGGCAATGGTTTGGTACTAATGAGTTCAAGCTAGTTTAAAGAAATTCAGTTGTTTGTTTACATTATTTTGGGAAACTGTTTGCTAGTTTTCAAGGCTTTGGTTCTTTTGAACCCAGAAGTGGTCTGTAATGCTTTATCAACTTTCTAGATGGTTTCCTGAGGGGGGGTGGCAGAATGTCACTTGCTTTCTGCACCTCTGTGATGGGGTGGGTGGCCATGCTCTGGCCCTGGTCCCCAGTAGGCCAAACAGAACTCCACAAATCATATAACCTAGTAGTTGGGAGCAATGTCAGCAAGATAGCTTCAGGGAGCCACTGGGGCTCATCCAGAAAGAGGCATTTCATAACGTTCAACACTGGTTGTGCCAAGCGGCTTCCACTGCAACAACAAATGTAACATATTTTATTATACTGAAAAAGTATTTGAAATTAAGACCTCAAAATAACAACAACAATAAGGAACATTCATAAAGTTATATCACATTCCCTATTGCAAGCAGGTCATAATAAACTTATGCTTAGGGGAAATCCCTCTGGATTTCATTCCATTGAAGCCATTTTATTTATTTTATTTTATTTATTTATTTATTTATTTATTTATTTATATACAAGAAGGTATATTGAGTTTGTGAGAGTATATACTGTAACATTGTTCTTACATTCTTGCAAAGCCTCTAACATGAATAGCATTTCAGGTAGGTCCTTAATATAACAGATAGGGTAAGATTATTAATAGGTACTGTGTAGCAAAATTTTAGTTCAACATAATAACTTCTATATTAGAAGTACAGAACAAATTTGAGAAAGTCACTACAGTGTGACTGATTTTATTTTTTATTATTTTATAATTATCAATACTTAAAATTATATATGCTGATTGTCAGACAGAATTAGAATTATACAAGATCCATTTACCATATATGTCTTGAAACTGGATATGGCAACAAGTGAATAAGTGAGAAATACTAAAGCTAAGTTGAATGGCATTTCAGAGCAAAGCTGGCAAAGGCGTGTGTGCACGTAGCCAAATGGTAGGCATCATGTGCAGGAGCGTAGGGACCCACCGTCCCCACACAGAGCAGGAAGGTGTCCGGTGCACATTGGAAGAGGATGAGGGACTTGTGTGCCAGGGCCGTAGTGATGCAACTGGAGCTGAAGCTTGCTGGGACTATGAAGTGGCCTTCCTGTGTGACTGCAGTTAGTGTCTCTTTTTCACCACTTCCTCTGTATTTTATATCAGACTACACATTGCTTCACATTTATTCTATTTATCAAAAACATTTTGCAACATTAATTTTGACTTGAGATTTGACACAATCGACTTGAGAATGTTCCAGGACGAACCGAAACGTCGTCGTCCCTTCACCTTCTAGTGTGTGGTCTGGTCAACATTAATTTTGATGACATAGAACCTTATATTATCAAGCATCTTCTTTCTTTGATTATGTCTTTAAGATTAAGTTAAAACATATAGCTAAAATATATGTATAAATTAGTTCCAAGGAACAGTCTGTGAATAACTTATGAAGAAAAATCTAAGTGCAAAGCAAGAATCTCGGGGAATGGTTATGCAGTGGGACTGAACGTGTATTAACTACAATTCTTGGTATTTAAGCTTGCCTCCTGCCAGCAGTTGAACTACTGGTTTGCCTAATACAAAGAATCCTTAACTGTTTTCATTAAAATTGCTATAAACAATGAATGCACATTCTATGCATTTAGGTTTCATAACATTGTATTCCAGTATAATTTAGCTTCATTCAAGTTGATGCAATTACTAGGCACTTACAATTACTGGGTATTCTTTTCTAGGCACTTGCTAGCACTTCCCTTCACTGATAGAGTGCTTCTATGGTAACTATTAAGTGTAATTACCCAAATGTAGTTTCAGGATGAGAGCTATGATTTTAGTATCCCGTCTTCCCAGCACTCTTTGTCATATAACACTTTGAAACTGATGGCAGTTTTGGCCTCCACCACCTTCTCCTTTACTCTAACACTCTAACTTGTTCCAATTGTCTACCACTGTGTTTGCAAAAGTGAACGTTCTAATATTTTTTGGTAGCTCTGCTTCCTTACTTTAAGCCTATATCATCTTGTTCTTGAAGTTGCAATTTTCAAAAATTCTTCTTTGTCAACTTTGTTGATACCTGTTACTATTTTGTATGTAGTGATATCACCTCTTTTTCTTCTATCTTCTAACTATGGTATATTTAATGCCTCTAATCTCTCCTCGTTTTTGGTATATTTAACACCTCTAGCTTTGGTATATTTAACGCCTCCTTATCTCTCCTCGAAAATAACCTAGCTCATTTTTTTTCAGTTCTGGGAGGCATTTGGTTGCATACCTTTGTACCCTTTCCAGTCTGTGCTTTTTGAGACATGGGCACCATACAACTGCTGCATATTCCAACTTTGGTCTCACAAAGATCGGGAACAATGGTGTGTTCAGATGTTTGCCTTTTCGAGTTATGGCCCTCTGTGTTGATTGCCTTACCTTGGGTAGTTCAAGAATCTTAGGCCCGTGGTTGGAGGTATTCTGTTTGGTTGTATTGTGGTGCACTGGGTTTGGCCACTTGTACAAAGAGCATGCTGCAGCATTCGGTGGATGCTTTGTTGGTTAATCTTGTTTCTTTGGTCCCCTGTTCCAAGTCTCACATTTCTCAGGTTGTCCGCATTATTTTTAGGTCGTGCCAGACTGAGATCTACTCTCATGACCATGATGCTCACAGACATGCTGTGTCGGTGGTGGTGTTTTCTAACATGTTCTGGGTTGGACTAGTATTTAGTCAATGTCCCTGGGCCCAGTCATTTCTGTGTTGTTTTTGGCCATGTTTTCTGGCCTTGTGCCTCTGCTTCTCCTAAGTACTTGACATCTCTCCTCATCCCTGATAAATCCTTTGTTTTTCTTCTCCATGTTTGGTTAGCTTTAGGGAGACACCAAGGAGCTCCTCCAGAAACTCAGCATTGAATGTAATGAAATGCCACTTTCTGCAATTTTAAATAAAATGTTTTGAAAATATTTTAAATAATTTTTGTTGTATTTCTAGGTATTACAACAGTGGAAATTTCGTCCACAACCACTCCATTAACACCTGTTACACCACCTGCAGTTGTAACTCCTTCCATGTAAGTATGGCTTCTTAATGTTCCCGGTAGTACAGTCAGGTTCATTCTCGACTCACAAATGAGAATTCCGGGTTTTAATTCTAAGAGGGGACAAAAATGGTTGTGCTTGTTTCCTATCACTTAATGATCCTGTTCACTTGCCAGCACAATAAATGGGTACTCAAAAGTTAGTCAGCTTATTGTAAGGTTGCATCCTGGGGAGGGTCAGTAGTTTCAACCACGGGCCTAAGAGGCTTAGGCCTGTGGTTGGAGGTAATTCTGTTTGTTTCGGCCCACTGGGTTTGGCTACCTTTGAGTACCCCAAAGTTACTCCAAAGTTTGGGTACCCCAAAGTCGGGTTTGTTCTCGACTCACAATAAAAAATTCCGGGTTTAAATCCCGAGGGAACAGAAATGGTTGGGCATGTTTCCTGTCACCTCATGCTCCTGTCCATCTAGCAGTAAATTGGCACCCAGGAGTTAGTCAGCTTGTCGTAGGGTTGCATCCTGGGGAGGGTCAGTAATTCAACCCTTGGGGGGGGGGGAGACCAAGATATAAGCCTATGTACTGTATACATAAGCTAGCTGCTTGTCCCCCTACACAATGAATTATTATGTATTAATTATTAATAATTATAGATGACTTAGGATAGGTATGTGGATATGCCATTATTGAGAGGGTGAGGAAACAGATTGTACAGATCACCTGAGGAGCAAGGAGGTATTAGAACATAGTTCATATACAATATTATATATCATAAGATCAGCAAGATAGGTTACAGTTTGATAACATCTGAATAAAAAGAACCATCAGGAATAGATGGCAGATATAGCATTACCAATTTCAATGCATTCATGAATAAGACAACAAACTTGTGTCTGAACATTTGCATTATATCCCATTAGCAGAGGAATAAAATGACATCTGTTTTAAAGAAGTTTACTGTAAGATAACATTATATGTTTCTCCAGCCCACCAGAGATTAAGGAAATACCCATGACCTGTGATGAAGAGGGTTGGAGTCAATGGTTCAATGAACACTTCCCTGATGTTGATGGCGAGTTTGAGTCTTTGTCGGAGATTCGTAAGGTACACTTGAGAATTGCAACTAATATACTGTACTTGCTGAAAAGATATTAATTGATGATCTTTTACTTGCAACTCCTCACTAAGCATGACTTGATATATTTTATTCTGTATTAAGATAAATTCAGTATTAAGATAATTCTGTATTAAGATAAATTCAGTATTAAGATAATTCTGTATTAAGATAAAACTTGTTTATTTACAGACCTACTCACTCTGCCCAGATCATTACATCACTGATGTTGAATGCCAACCAGTACGAGGAGGAGGGGTTGAGCCTATTGTTACTTGTGACAAGTTGGGGGTCAGGTGCAGGAACAATGGTGAGTTCTATTTTGTACTGAATATGAATAAAAAAAATTGTATTCTTTAACCCCTGCACTGTACATACCAAGATATCTTAGTTGACATGTGGCGAACTGACCAAGAAAACTTGTAGGTACAGTATATGGAATGATTCAAAACTTCTGTGGGTACACGAGGCTCACATCCTGTTCCTCAGGAGTACAGTAAATAGATACCATCATAAATAAATAAATAAATAATTAAAGATTGCTTCCCTCCTGTCTGTGAGAGCCTCAGTACTGCAAGAGTGACCAAGGTTGGTGAATGTAGCAGGAGCACAGCTGTCCAGGTCAGGACCACAGCACCACTTAATAAGGATGACTAAAATAAGTAACTGCAATTATTTTGTGGTGAAAGTGTCATAGATGAATCTGATGGTAATAAAATCTATGTATAAGGTTCAGATATCAGTGAACACAATACAGTGGCACCTCGATTAATGAGCGGCTTTATCTACGAGCATTTCGAGTAAAGAGCGAGCCACGCACAGAGCATTTGTCTCTACTAACGAGCTTTTCCTCGATTAACCCTTAAGTTGCACAACACATCATATGATAGGTTGAGTGACTTGCTATAAATTGCACATCCCATCATATGATGTATTGGAGTACTCCGCAAGATTTAAACGGCCCGCAGATACACGGGGTTCACCTCACCTTCATCAGGGCTCTTGTAAACAGTCTCCATTTTTTTTTTAAATGGTGGGCCAAATTCCCGGGTGTGAGGGGCTTAGTGTTGAGTGAGCCACCAAGCCTGATGCACACAGCATGTGCTCACAGCACTGCTGTTCAGCTTGTGACCACAGCATCGCCTAAAAATGCCGTAATATACATGTTTATGCTATTATTGATCGATGATATTATTACAGAAGACCCCTGACTGTGATAAAAATGACCAGGATTCTGATAATAGCAGGATTGTTGTGATAATTAGCGCTGTAGTGGGAGGAGTAATCTTGGTGGGGAGGTAATATCGTCTGCTGACTGTGTGACCACCTTTTACTGTCTGGACTCACTATACCAGCTTAGTTGTTCGCTATGGTAAACAAAACATGCAGATACTTATATATAACATCTGTATATAAAAGCAAAAACAGTATGGTGGGAGGAGAATGGTGGCGAGTCAAGTGAGGTGAGGGAGGGAGGGAGTGGCAGCCAGTGACGGGCTGGCTGCCACTTGTTTGAGTGGCAGAATATGTTAAACTGAAACAAGTGTTTGAGAATATGTTAAATTGAGTATTAGTAAATGTGGATGATTATGTGTAAATTTTTCCTGTGCGTTTTCATGAGTAGCGTTACTGCACCCCACAAGGGAAGAGAGGTCCGAGACTCCACACACATAGGTTGTGTGGTGTGACCTCGTGACGTTATGAACCTCCATTATATCTGAGTGACTGGAATACTGTTGTTAATCTGGTGAATGAGAAATTATTCCTTGATAGTGTATTATCTCATTTCTTGTGTTTTAATAAATGTAATGCACGCACTTTGATTGTTGAGTCTCGCCAATTAAAAAATATGGTCCCAGCCCCACGTGGTTACTCAGGTGTTTGAAGTGTTTATCAATGAATATTGGTTCTACATCCCTGTTTTAAAGTAATGTATCTATACTATAAGTAAGGAAGTAAATGACAGGTTTCGCAAGTTCGTACTCTAGGTACAGCTTACAAGCTCCTGCCCATACCGCAGTGTTCTATAACACGTAACTTGTCCTTAATTGTTAGCACAACCTTCTTCCTTGTAACACCTCCAGAATGATTGCTGCAGCTACCAGACATAATCTTCGCAAAAAATTATATAACAAAAATCTCAAAATTTTAGGACACTACAGTTTTCATCCTGTGCACGTAGTTCTTAAGAAATTTATATTTGTTATAATATTAGATAATATTTTTGTATTTTATTGTGATAAATTGTTCTAACATTGGTTATTATATACAATATCATAGGTCATAGGATCATAGGTCCCTCCACATGCCCCTCAACCCCCAAACAGTCCCTCCTGACTCTCCCGACACCCCTACCTTGAAACCACCCACCTCAACACCTCCCATACCCCGCACCTCGAGCCACTGCTGTATGGGATTAATACGATACAGCCCGATGACTGTCTATATGTAGTATCCATCAAAATCTCCTGGATTTCCGCATTTCTGTCTGGGTATGGTGAAGTTGGCAGAAAGTTATGTGGACTTGATTTAAATCTCTGGCTGTCTATTTGTATCTGGACAAACCTCCGATAATCTGGATTCTATGGACATTCATCCAGATATGGACAGAAAATTAACCGGATGCGATTTTGTCTGGGTGACCCAGATATCCAGTTTAGCGGAATCCGGATAGTCGAGCTCATACAGTACACTATAGTATTTATATTTTCTATAAATCCACTACAGTATTTACACACAATGTTTAGGGGATAAATTAGGATAATGAATAAATTGGCTTTACATTTTTTGAAGTAATACTTGATGCTTTTCTTTTTAATGAGAAATATTTCTTTCATAATCTTCCAGCTGGGCAACAATACTGCCAAGACTATGAGGTACGAGTGCTATGCCAATGTGAATGCCAAGATGGTCTGGGCATGGAGAACTACAACATAACCAATGAACAGATTACTGCCTCCTCTCTTAATACCCCCGATGATAAGCCATACGGAGCTCGCCTCCACTCTGACTGGGCCTGGACTGCACAACCTATTGATGAGTTTGATAAGAATGCAGCAAAAGATGAATGGCTACAGGTGGGATGCTTTATTTTTTTTTTGTACAATGTGTGTGTAATGCTCAATGTGTGTGTGTGTAATTACATAAGTGGAGTTACGGGATGAGAGCTATGCTTGTGGTGTCCCGTCTTCCCAGTACTCTTTGTTGTATAATACTTTGAAACTACTGACAGTTTTGGCCTCCACCACCTTCTCACTTAACCTGTTCCAACTGTCTATACCACTCTGTTTGCAAAAGAAAATTTTCTAATATTTTTTTGGCATCTTTGTTTCCTTAGCTTGAATTTGTGTCTTCTTGTTCTTGAAGTTGCTGGTTTCAGGAATTCCTTTGTCAATTTGGTTGATTCCTGGTTTTATTTTGTAAGTGGTGATCATATCACCTTTTATCTTCTATCTTCTAGTTCTGGCATGTTTAACACCTCTAGTCTCTAATACAGGTAATACTCGATGTAGTGGACATGGCGTTTTTGGCAGTGTCGGCGACATTGGCATCTTCATGTTCCAATCTTGTTCTCACTCTCATGGTGGGGTAGAGTGAGAACAAGGAAGAATTTCACTGCTGGTATGCAGTGAACAGGCATGAAGAAGAGTTAATCTTGTGATTGAATTAGATTTAACTAGATTATGAACTAGATTATAGAGAGATGCTCTGTACTTATTTGCATGTAAATAAATTAGTTTTTCATACTGTCTTTGTAATAATTTACACAGGTGGACCTGAAGGAGGTAAAAGAGGTAACAGGTGTGGTAACTCAAGGACATCCGTACTTTGAGCAGTTTGTGGAGACCTATGCTGTCCAGGTTTCAGAAACAGGAGCAGTTTGGGAAGATGTTAAAGAGAAAGGTGAATCATTTGCAAAGGTCAGTAGATAAAGAAAGTGTTCCATTTAAATAATTTTCAAACCCTAATATATATGATTAACACGTGATAAATTTTAATTCTCTAACCACTGTGCTGCGCTAGCCGAGAAAACTCATTTGCCCGAAAATGCGCTAGCCGAGAAATGATGATGTTAGTTTATCATAAGAACTGAAAAATCCATGAAAACAAGGGGCACACATTTACTACTAAAGACTTCCAGCAACCAGCGCCCATCTTGAAAAAACATCCGAGTCCCTCACTTTCCTTTCATGGGCTTAGTAACGTGTTTTAGGTTACTTAGTCCTATGAAACAATCCCAAGGCCATGGCTTTAGGAATGTGTAGGGCAACCATGCTATGAGCCACTGAAGGTTTAACAACAGCAAGTGAGTGATTACCATTATATATTTTAGGCAAAATGTGTGCTATGTACAATTATAAGATTTAGGCTTCTATATAAGCCTATATATATGATGATACATACAGTATATATAAGTATGAATAAATACATGGTGTGCATATATTTATGCACATATATTTGTGTATATGTATATTTTATACATATATACAAAGTTATACATAATAAACACCATCTTTGACACATAGATACAACTTATTAGAACAAAAAAACTAAATAAATACAGTGAGAAACATTGAAAATAGGTCAACAAAGTTATTCTCATGCAGCAATCTAATTTTTACCCAAAAAATGCAACTTCTCCGGGCAACTAGGGCTAAACTACAAGAGATAGAGACTTTGTACAGTACTTGGATTTTCGTGCTTTATGGGTGCTAATTAACAATACCCAAAGAACAAATACTGTTTTTGGAACACTATATTTTTGGCACATAGCCAGAGTGTCATAATAAATGCAGCTCATCACAGTGGTTAAAGTGTGCAATTTTATTTAAAATTGGAATATATTGATGTAGATTGTGGGTTAGATGTTTTGATGTATTGGTAGCTATCTTTCTGAGATTGCTTCATAGTAAAAGGTTTCATCACTTGCCCAAGTTCTGTTTGGCCTACAGGGAACCAAAGCCAGAACCTGGTTCCCCCTTTCAGAGGCACAGGGTGAGAGTGACAGTTCACCACCTCAATGGAAAAAAATCTCCAAAAAGTCAGCAAAACTTTACTGACAACTGGAGGGTTTGCAGGAAACAAAGCCTCAAAACTGCCAACAAATGTCTCAAATCATTCACACAGAGATTTGGATTCACTCAAACTAGCTTGAAAATCATTATTACCAATTACCACCACCACATGGCCCAGGCCCAGCAATCAGCCTGCTTCCCATCTCAATCCTGGTGCTGATGTGGTAGATGATACCTTATTATCTACCTTATTACTTGAACAATTCTTTTTGTATTATTCCTTATTTTATCATATGCTTCATGTATGTCCAGCTTGTTATGTAGGGCTTGGCTCTTGTTGCATATCAGGCTGCATGCGCCCACGGTTTTCTTCCCTGGGGGCCTGCTACTGCTGTCCTTGCACAGAGTTATCTTCTCTGGTAATTACCGAATTACATTTACAGAACGAGTGCTGGTGTGTTTGGTGGTTTGCTCCTGAGTGGCCTAGCCACTGGGGTGAAGAGCCTTCCTTGCCTTGGGCTAATTGCAAATCTTTGATCCCTCTGTTTGGACCCTTAGCTGGGGGCATTCTATTCATTGTACTTGGTTGCACTGGGGTTTGCATGCTTGTGCATACAGTGTGCAATAATCACTCTTTGTAGCCTTGTTGTTTTGGCTGCATTTGGTGACTGTTCTTCTGGTACATAGCCCCAGTGTCCAGTGTCTTTGCTTGATTAGCTACCTTGTGGCCCTAATAATTTCCCTTGCAGGTCTCTGTTGTAGTCCATCATGGATGGATCCACGGAGCCTACCCTTGTTGAGCGTGAGCTTGAAGGGTGTATATTGTCCTTGATATGTGATGATCAGTTTTCTGCTCCCACCATGCTGCCTGCTGTGTCAATGACACCTACAACCAAGAGTCCTGTGAGGTTTGTTGTCACTGGAGCTCCAATCTTACTGATTCCGTTTTGCAGTTGAAAGATTTTTGCTGCTTTGCGAACAAGGTTTTATCGGGTTAGGCATTTGTGGCTTATTCATTGGCACAACAACTTCCAGAGTTGGCCGCCCTATGATATTTAGGGACCTTGAATTAGAGGTCTTGCTGACCTCAATCTGGACTAAGTTTCCACCTCCTCTTCCTTTTCCTGCTGGTGTAGTTTGCCCAGCTTCTGGTCTATCCCCCTCCCCCCACACAGTCCTTTCCCTAATTCTGGCTCTAAAAGTGTCTGAGAGTTTTTGGAGCTGGCTGGGAGTGTGCCTCACCTTTCTCTGAAAATAGTCCCATCCATATCGCTGGTGGAGGCAGTTGAGTTTTCAGTCTTGCCAGGGTTTCAGGTCTTTTGCTCCCTCCCCCTGTCCACTCCAAACCTTCTCCATGGGAAGGCACTTTTTATCATAGATGTTTGGGCGAGGATTTTGGCTCTGCTATCAGAGCTCAGAGAGAACCCAAGGAGTGTCCAGGGTGGCCTGGACCTTAGTGAATTTTGGTCCTCTCTATAGAGAGTGTTGTGCTTTAAGGGGAATAATTTTTCTTATCCTCCTTCCATGTTTAAGTTTGATCGTTCAGTTGCTTCCCCTCGGGCTCATTTCCAGGTCAAATTAGATGCTTTGGAGTCATCTTATTTCCAGATGTTTCCATCTTGCAGCGTTAAATCCTCAGTGCTTTTGTGCGGATTGGTTTGGTACCTCTTGTGCAACTCGGAAATCTTTTCTTTGATGAATCTTGCCTCTTTTGAGTACAAGTCTGACTCTGCTTATTAGCTGTAGTGTGAGGTTTTGGGTTTGTCCCATTTGGTTCACAGCCCTCTTTTATTTTCCTTTTAGCTTTTTTTCGCCCAGTGAGCCCTTGGGGGCTTGGCAAGAGTTCTGTTGGACCCGCAAGCTTCATTGGCAGGAGGTAAGTTCCGTCTTTAAGGTGTTCTAGGGTGGTGCTTATGCACTGATTAGTAACTGCCTGTTGGCTCGTGAATAAAAACAAAAACAGTAGTATTGTGGGAGGAGAATGTGGGTGAGTCAGGTGACTTGAGGGAGGGAGGAAGTAGCAGCCAGTGGCGGGCTGCCACTGGCACTGCCACTCAGCATGCCAACTTAGCGGTTCGTTATGGTGAACAAAACATGCAGATACTTATATATAACCTGTGTATATAGTGTAATAACCGACAAAGTATTTGTTCACTGTTTGATGAACATAATTGAATCAACAATATGCACACCATATTTTTGAGTACAGCGATGATTCACTCATTTTATTATATAAATATATCACACTATACACTATTGAATAATATTACAGCAAAAAACTACGAAAAATCAATCGGAGACATTGAAATAATTAGGTAATTATCTCTTTGTGGCAACTCCGGCCTGACAGCTGGCAAGCAACAGACTGCCTGGGACGCACGCTGAGTCAGAGCCTGTTTTTTGCCAGACTTCCCCGCCTTATAGCGGGCAATATATGCCACTTACGATTTTTTTATTATTTTTCCCATGATCAGGGAACACAAATTAACAGGTTAGGAAGATTTTTTTTTTTTTTTTTTTTGTGTGTATGCGCCTGTGGGTGTCAAATGGTATATAGCCATGCGCCATTTAAGGGTTAAAGGTCTTAATTATTACGCCCTGCCCTGGTGACGCTCTAGTACTCTCTCATCTATCCTTATCTCAACTATGGTATTTGTGCTTGGGGTTCTACTACCCAAAATCATTTACATCCTCTAATTACCCAACACAAAGCTGCTATTAGAACAATATCCAACTCTGGCCCCAGACAGCACTCGGTACCCCTACTCAAATCTCTGAATATGTTAGATATTAAGTCACTGCACATCCTCTCTTGTGTACTCTATATATTTAAAACTCTGAATTGTAATGTCAATCCTGACCTTCAATGCTTCCTAGAAGGTTGTAACAGAACTCATGGGCACCACACCAGAAACAAATACCTATAAATAAATAAATAAATAAATATGTGTATTCAGGAAAGGTACATACATACAAGTGATGTTACATTTCAAAAGGTGACACCCCTAGGGTCAACACTTGCAGCAGAGGAGCTCCAGCATATTTCAACAATCCTAAGTATTGTAGTACAGGTTGATGGTAGTGAGTGGTGTCCCAGAGAACATAAAGGTATAGTGCTCTTGAAAAATAGGTGAGATAACAGGAAAGTGCTAAGGGAAGTGAAAAATCGGATGAGAAAAAGTTGCCCTAGTGTTTACAGTGCAGAGAAGAACATTCAAGATGGCCACCGGCAAGGGGAAAAACAAAACAGAGCTTGATTTTGAGGGATTCAATGAAGAAAGCATTGATATTAGTAGTCTACATAACAAGTTGGTAAATTTAGATACTATAGTGAACTCTCATGTAGAAATAATTAGTAAATTGAAAGAAAGTAATGACCATTTGAATAGCAAAGTTTTATGTCTTGAGGGTTTAGTGAAAGACTTGCGCAAGGATAAGAATCAATTGGAAACAAATTGCAAAGCCATGGAAGAAGAAAATAAACTCTTAAAAATAGCTTTGGAAGAAGTTAAAGTAAATTTAAACATAAATGACTACAATAGGTTAGGCAAGGAAATTCAACAGGAGAAACAGCTTTTGTCAGCACAGATGGAGGAAGTTACACAGGGAATAGAACAGTGCAAGAAAGATATGCAACTCACTTATGCACAAGTGGCCAAGGAGAAGGAAAAAATAGAAGAAGCAGTAAAGGAAGTCAAACACTGCAGCAACCAAGATAAAACAAACATTAGGCTAGAAGTGAGGAAAGAATTGGCATCTAACCCGAAGTTGGTGCAAAACACAGTTGATCGGAGTAAGTCCCTGATCATTTTTGGCTGCAAAGAAAAGGCGATAACATCTAGGTCAGAAAGAGCTGTAGAAGAAGCTAAAGTAGTAGATAAAATTGTTGGCCTCGTGGAAGGTCTTACAAACAGAGAGAATGTGTGCGACTACAGGAGAATAGGCAGGTACGTAAAAGGGAAAGATCGACCTTTGAGGATCACCCTAAACGGTGCCAAACAGATGGAAGAAGTACTAAGGAATGCTAGAAAATTGCAAAGGGATGAGGATGGGAAAGGGTGGTCGTTAAGACGAGATCTTTCAAAAGAAGATAGAGAGAAGCTGAAACTGAACCTCGCCGAGGCAAAACATTTAAATGAGAGCAGGAATGAAGAAGAAATAAATTCTTTTTTCTACAAAGTGATAGGGGTAGGCAAACCAGTAAAGTGGTACATAAAGGCAAACCAACAAAATCAATAGAGAGAGGGGGAGTGAAGAATAAGGAGAGGGGGAACAAGTTCCTGAAGATTGCATACACCAACATAGATGGAGTGAGATCGAAGATACTGGAGTTAAGTGATGTAATACAGCTGCAGACACCAGACATTGTTGCACTCACGGAGACAAAACTTGAAGATGTAATTTTAAATGAGGTCATATTCCCAAGGGGCTACTCAATTTGGAGACGGGACAGAAAAATTAGGAAAGGCGGTGGCGTTGCTGTGCTGGTAAAAGAACACCTAAAGGTGAAGGAAATAATGACTGCCAATCCACAAGAAGTTGACATAATAGCACTAGAGATCTGCTATGAGGATGATAAACTAATGATGATAAATGCATATAGTCCACCGCCAAGCAGCACATGGTCAAAGGAGGAGCTAGATAGTAAACGTGAAGGTCTTATAACAATAATGAGAGAGATTATAGCGAGAGCGGATAACGATAGATCACGACTGTTGATAGTCGGTGACTTCAACTTGAAATCCATAGACTGGGAAGCATATGAAGCTAAAACAGAAGATTTTTGGACCTGTAAATTTGTAGACCTCATCCTGGAAACATTCTTGTATCAACATGTTAAACAAGCTACGAGGATGAGGGAAGGGGACGTTCCCTCCATGCTAGATTTGATATTTACCAGGAAGGAGGAAGAGATATTTGACATTCAGTACCTTCCTCCCTTGGGTAAAAGTGACCATGTCTTTTTGGGAATAAAGTATGCAATGCGTTATAAGCTGGAAGAAAATAAGGAGGTTGAAGCAGTTGAAAAACCAGACTTCAGGAGAGGACATTATGGTGACCTTAGAAATTTTTTTAGTGAGTATAATTGGACAGACTTGATGCTAGGCAAGGAAGTGAATGAGATGTATGGCAAGTTTTGTGAAATATATGATAAAGGCACAAAAAAATTTATACCAAAACAGAGATGCAGAACTAGGAAACAGGATTGGTTCAATAGAAATTGCGAGAGGGCTAGAGACCGAAAGACACAAAAATGGAATCAATACAGGAAGAGGCCGAACCCCCAAACATACCAGCGATACAAAGATGCGAGAAACAACTACACGGCAGTGAGGAGAGAGGCAGAAAGAAATTTTGAAAAAGGGATTGCGGACAAATGTAAAACAGAACCAGGTCTATTCTATAAATTCATAAACAACAAATTGCAGGTAAAGGATAATATTCAGAGGTTGAAAATGGGAAATAGATTCACGGAAGATGAAAAGGAAATGTGTGAAACACTAAACGAAAAGTTCCAAAGTGTGTTTGTACAAAATGAAATCTTTAGGGAACCAGATACAATAAGAATTCCAGAGAACAACATAGAACACATAGAGGTGTCTAGAGACGAAGTGGAAAAAATGCTCAAGGAGCTCGGTAAGAACAAAGCAGCTGGCCCAGATGGCGTTTCACCATGGGTTCTGAGAGAATGTGCATCTGAGCTCAGCATTCCACTTCACCTGATCTTTCAGGCATCCCTGTGTACAGGAATCGTAGCAGACGGGTGGAAACAGGCTAACATAGTTCCAATCTACAAAAGTGGCAGCAGGGAAGACCCCCTCAATTATAGACCTGTATCATTGACAAGTGTAATAGTGAAAGTATTGGAAAAACTAATCAAAACTAAATGGGTAGAACACCTAGAGAGAAATGATATAATATCAGACAGACAGTATGGTTTTCGATCTGGAAGATCCTGTGTATCGAATTTACTCAGTTTCTATGATCGAGCCACAGAGATATTACAGGAAAGAGATGGTTGGGTTGACTGCATCTATCTGGACCTAAAAAAGGCTTTTGACAGAGTTCCACATAAGAGGTTGTTCTGGAAACTGGAAAATATTGGAGGGGTGACAGGTAAGCTTCTATCATGGATGAAAAATTTTCTGACTGATAGAAAAATGAGGGCAGTAATCAGAGGCAATGTATCAGAATGGAGAAATGTCACAAGTGGAGTACCACAGGGTTCAGTTCTTGCACCAGTGATGTTTATTGTGTACATAAATGATCTACCAGTTGGTATACAGAATTATATGAACATGTTTGCTGATGATGCTAAGATAATAGGAAGGATAAGAAATTTAGATGACTGTCATGCCCTTCAAGAAGACCTGGACAAAATAAGTATATGGAGCACCACTTGGCAAATGGAATTTAATGTTAATAAATGTCATGTTATGGAATGTGGAATAGGAGAACATAGACTCCACACAACCTATATATTATGTGAGAAATCTTTAAAGAATTCTGATAAAGAAAGAGATCTAGGAGTGGTTCTAGATAGAAAACTATCACCTGAGGACCACATAAAGAACGTTGTGTGAGGAGCCTATGCCACACTTTCTAACTTCAGAATTGCTTTAAATACATGGATGGCGATATACTAAAATATTGTTCACAACTTTTGTTAGGCCAAAGCTAGAATATGCAGCGGTTGTGTGGTGCCCATATCTTAAGAAGCACATCAACAAACTGGAAAAGGTGCAAAGACATGCTACTAAGTGGCTCCCAGAACTGAAGGGCAAGAGCTACGAAGAGAGGTTAGAGGCATTAAATAGGCCAAAACTGGAAGACAGAAGAAAAAGAGGTGATATGATCACTACGTATAAAATAGTAACAGGAATTGGTAAAATCGATAGGGAAGATTTCCTGAGACCTGGAACTTCAAGAACAAGAGGTCATTGATTTAAACTAGCTAAACACAGATGCCGAAGAAATATAAGAAAATTCACCTTCGCAAATAGAGTGGTAGACGGTTGGAACAAGTTAAGTGAGAAGGTGGTGGAGGCCAAGACCGTCAGTAGTTTCAAAGCGTTATATGACAAAGAGTGCTGGGAAGACGGGACACCACGAGCGTAGCTCTCATCCTGTAACTACACTTAGGTAATTACATTAATGGATCGATATATAGATAGAGCTAGTACATACAGTGCCTAAAGCCACTATTACGCAATGCGTTTCGGGCAGGAAAAACATTAATATCTAGAACTTAATACTAATTGAGCATAAAGAATAAAGAATATTTGATATACCTATTTGATATTCCAAGAGTTAGACTTGATCAAACTAGGAATGCTCTACAAATCAAGGGACCCAGAATGTGGAATGACCTTCCCAATTATGTCAAAGATTGTACCCCTCAATCAGTTTAAGATGAAACTAAGTACTACCTAATTAACTCCCTGTAACCTACCTTACTTCTAAATGTCAACCCATGTCTTACTATTTAAAAAAAAAAATGCTGTTTGTTGACCAACTTGTATATTGACTATTTTCTACTATGTTCCCCCTTTTTTTATCTTTTATTATTTTTTTTTCTTTCAACACAATTTATACTTTAAGCTCAATTACTATTAAGTTTTAGTCTAAGTGTTTTTCCCACCTCACCTTGCCCGAAACGCTCTGCGTACTAGTGGCTTTAGGTATTGTATGTACTACAAGTACCTCTATCTTTAAATCAAACAGTGTTTGTACTGTAACTCTGCAACTATGTATGTACTTTTCCTAAATAAATTATTATTATTATTATTATTATTATTATTATTTTGTTTATTTAAATTTTCTGGTCTACAGCAATTCACTGGCAACAATGACAGGTCAACTCCTGTGACAAACTTGTTCCCTGAACCTGTATATGCTCGCTATGTGAGGATCGTCCCCATAGACTTCTATTCTGCCATATCTCTCAGGGTAGAACTTAAGGGTTGTGATACCAAAGGTAAGCTAATAACCTATGATGTTCTTTATGTTCATAATAAAAAATTAAATAACCATTTTTAACAGAAATGGGTTTTAAAACCATGCAAGATGGATGTTATTTACTACTATGAATGTCATTTATATTATGATTTACATTTAAGATGCTACTGTTACTTTTTGTGGTAATACAGTAATTTATAATAAAATCCAGTAAATATTTTAATATTTTAAAATATTCTCAATAGTAAAAGAAGATTCTACAAACATATCATGCATAACTTCCACTTTAGCATCCTTGTTACTATCGTCCAGTAATACACATTTTACATGTACACTGCAACCTCCAAAAATCAGAATCATATTGCTCCAAATAATCAGGAATTCAGAATAATTGTACTTTCTGGGAGGGCTCTGTTCGTGACTCCCTGTTGCTAAATCCTCAATAACTTCATCCAAATTGATTTGCACCGGGCTTGGCGCCTACATGAGCCCCTCGCTCGATATGTTCCCGGATGCCTTGTCTCTCAGCTGGGGCTTTGTGACCAGTGCTTATCTGGCCGTCCAGGGTCACTGGGGTCCATCCTTCTGTCGGGCTCACAGCACGGTGCGGCAGTCGCTTTGAAGGGGTTTGTGTTGCTCGCGGATTGACAATCCGGCTCCATTCGGACTGCGCTCCAGTTGTTCATTACCTTAACCAGGGGATACAATGCGGTCCTTGGCTCTTTGGGGCTAGTCGCTTCGGGTGACTCGTCTGCTGAGTTCTCAGGGTTTGGCTTTCCTGGCAGTTCATACCCGGGGAGTGTCCTACATCCTGGCGAACAGCCTGTCTCGGTTCATTCCCCGGTTCATGGAATGGATGGTCGATGCCGACTCATTCAGTTGGCCCTGCTGGACTTTCGGGTTAAACATACCGAGTTAAACACTTCACACGGGTCTGTCTCTTACAACTTTCACATGTCCCAAACTCTTTTAAATATCTCAGAAATTCATTCCAGTAAATAATTAAAGAGTTTTAAAACTTTTCTGAATAGCATTTCTGCACCTCCAGTGAGCCAATTCAAACCCCTACTGAACAAAACTTATAAAGTACTATAATTATAATTATTATTATAATTATTATAAAAACTTGCTACTTAAAAAAATTTAAACACCCCAAATTTGTTTAGGTTAAGATTTATTATGACTTTTGTGCTGTAGATTTGCTGTTTCTTTATTGTCTTTTAGTTTGTAAAGATACAAATAAATGCATGTGTTAAATGGGCATGCTGGGTAATGGGCTATTTTACAGCATTTGCTTTTTATAAACAGAAATTCTACACTTGTCATAATTAAAGAGGATTTTAGTAATAAATGGTTTGATTATCATTAGGCAGCATTCTTGTTTAATTTTAGAAATGAACTTCAAATGTGTGATGTAAAATAATATATAATTCTTTTTTTTCCTTCCAACAGAGATGACAACACCTATTGGTAAGCATAAAGAATGCATATAAATATAAATTCTCCAAAAATATAATTCCCAAAATAACTTAAAGCACATATTGTAGCATTAGAAACTAAATACTGGTATTTAGACAAAAGCAACTACAGACAATTTAATACAATTATAATACAATTTTCTCCTGTTTTGCCAGGAATAACCTCATCCACGGTATCATCATCGGACACGACCACCAAGCCTACATGTGTTAATGGCTGGACGTCGTGGATGAATACTCACACACCCAGCCCTCAAGACTGGGTGAGCTCCTCTTCATTTTATAACATTTAGTAGTTTTTCATGATATAGACACCTAAATATTAGTCAGACTATACTGTACAGCACTGATAATGGAGAAACACTGTAATTATTTAGATTCATAAGGCAAGATTTTGGGGACTGGGGACTGAATGGAATTTTCATTCGTATTAAGTTTTTAATAGTGTTAAACATTAATTTCATATATATATTTTTGCATATAATGCTTTGGAGATTAGAGTATGCCGGACACTAATACTGTATTTCATTATTGCCATTGCTGATCTAGGATGACATGGATGACCTTCGCTCCTTGGCAGAAAAGTACACATTTTGTGCTTCCCACGAAATTTTGTATACTCAGTGTCAGGTGGTTGGCCTTGGACTGTCACCTGAGGCATCAGGCCAGGTGGCCATCACTTGCAATCTCAACGCTGGCCTTCAGTGTATCGATAGTCTTCAGGCACCACAACGTGAGTACACGTAGATTTAAACTAACGAAACAAAGTTTTCAGAGAAATATAAGAAAATTCACTTTTGTAAACAGAGTGGTAGATGGGTTGGAACACGTTATGTGAGAAGGTGGTGGAGGCCAAAACCATCAGTAATTTCAAAGTGTTATATGACAAAGAGTGCTGGGAAGACAGGACACCACGAGCGTAGCTCTCATCCTGTAACTACACTTAGGTAATTGCATTAATATTTAATGTGGGGTAAAATATGTTAGGGAAAATTTATAATGCATATACTGCTATTAAAAAAAAAATGCCAAGTAACAAAGACTGATCTATTTTTAAATAGTATTTCTGCACAGTTTTTTAGAGACTTTGTTTTATTAGCTTAAGTTTATGGCCTCTTGTTCTTGTAGCTTTGCAAAATTCATCATTATCAATTTTGTTAATTCCTGTTATAATTTTGTATACAGAGATCATGTCATATCTCTTGTTATAGAGACAGAAGTCATATATTAAGATATATAATTGAACCTAAATTTTCTAGTTTATTGATGTGCTTTTTGAGTTGTGGATACTAAAACAACTGCTGAATATTATAGTTTAGGCTCTTGAATATTGTGAATAATTTATTTATTTATTTATTTATTTATATACAAGAAGGTACATTGGATTAGAAAGAATACATAACATAGTATTATAATGAAATTTTTTGTTTGCATTTCCCCATCCAAGAATTTAAATGAAATTTCAACATTGGCCAGAGTAGAATATGCTCGTGTTACTGTATGATCCTTACATGGTTCTCTGATGACAGTTTACTATGCAGTACAATAAGGGTTTTACTTCTGGATCTCTTTAGTTTAGTGAGTTCCTTCTCATCTGTTCACATAATTTGTACGATTAGTGTGGCCTGGTCTCACTATGCCACATTCAATAATGTGATGTTTATCCCTATTAAATTCTACTTATGTGTTGCTTCACATATTTGCATTTAATTACCTAAGTAATTACCAAAATGTAGTTACTGAATGAGAGCTACACTCATGGTGCCTTGTCTCTCATATAATCTTTGTCATATGACACATAATAACTGCTGATAGTTTTGACAAGCACACGGCTCTCAGTTATACTATTCTATCTTCTTGAGATGATTATCTTGAGATGATTTCGGGGCTATTAGTGTCCCCGCAGCCCGGTCCTCGACCAGGCCTCCACCCCCAGGAAGCAGCCCGTGACAGCTGACTAACACCCAGGTACCTATTTACTGCTAGGTAACAGGGACATCCAGGGTGAAAGAAACTTTGCCCATTTGTTTCTGCCTCGTGCGGGAATCGAACCCGAGCTACAGAATTAAGAGTCCTGCGCGCTATCCACCAGGCTACGAGGCCCTATCTGATTACCACTCTGTTTGCCACACAACATTTAACCACATATTTTGGCACCTTTCTTTTCTTAGCATCAAGTTATAGCCCCTTCTTCTCAACATTGTTGAGAAGAAGCCCCTTCTTCTCAACATTGCATATATTTAAAATTCATCCTAATAAATTGTTGTCAATCCTCTTATAATTGATCCTGTTATCTCTTTTTTTCATCTGTCCATTAGTTTTGGCATATCTGATCAATATATATATACAGTAGTACCTTAGTTTTTTAATTTAATCCGTTCCCAGGGACGGTTCAAAAACCTTAAATTTAAAATCTGAAACAAATTTTCCCATAAGAAGTAAGATAAGTGGAATTAATCTGTTCCACACCCCCAAAAATATTAACTTAAAGATATATTTTATACATACTACTACTTACATTTTGTACTACAGTATGTACAAGTGTATCTTAACTTTATTAAATTCTTGTTGGTGTATGGGAGGCAGTGAGGAAGGGGGGGGGGGAAGGGAGGAGGAGAGGTGTTAGTGTTTGGAAGAAGAGGAGTTTTGGCTGCTCTGTTTCCCCTAGCTTGAGCCTGTGATCTCTTGTTATTGAAGGTTTAGGTTTAAAGAATTCTTTACCAAATTTATATAATAATAATAATAATAATTATTATTATTATTATGTTTATTCAGGTAAAAGTACATACTGTACATTCAAAATGAGTTACAAACAGAATGTTGGATTTCTAGATAGAGCTGGTATATACTATGCCTAAAGCCACTAATATGCACAGTGTTTCAGGCAAGATCAACAAAATTTGTTGATTCCTGATACTATTTTGTGCATAGTGATCATGTTACTTCTTTTCCTTCTGCCTTTGGCATATTTAACACCTCTAGCCTCTCTTTGTAATTCTTGTACTTCAGCTCAGGAAGCCAAATCATTTCAATTCTTTGCACTGTTTCCAGTTTAAATTTTTTATTTATATATTCAAGAGTTCTTAAATTCTTGTAAAGCCACTAGTATGCATAGCATTTCAGGCAGGTCCTTAATCTTAATATTCCCTGGAATATGATCTGCCAAATCAATTAACAACCAGGTATCCATTTCCATTTTCTAGACTATGAGAGGAGGTCTAAAGGGAAATGTTGTCATGTTCAGTGCTCCCTAAAGGTGCCCTCCATCCACTGCCAAAGCTTGTTTATTTCCTTCCTGTAGGGGTTTGATGCTGTAGGAATATGCACTTTTGGAAGCGCCATCCTGGAGGGGAAAATTAGCTTCTGTTCAGTTCTCAGAAGGTCATGCCTTTGTATACTCATATGTTTTTCTGCTACTTACTGTAGAATCCTCTCTGGGTATTCCATGTCCCTGAAGAATGAACATATCATATCCAAATCCTTCTTGAGTTGGCTGTCCACACTTGTTATCCACTTTATCTGGATGCTTAACAAATAGGGAAGAGATTGCTTTAAGGATTTTGTATGACAAGAATTGTACAAGAGATAAGACAGCAAGTTAGAATCCTTGTAGAACACTTTAGTTTGGAGTTTCCTTTCTCCACCCAGGTATTCACAAGTGTCGAGGAAGGGCAGCTCCTTAGAGCTACACTACATTGTAAAATCCAAATCTTGGTGGACAACGTTAGTCCATGTGTGAATTTTTTACCTTTACCTCCCTGCCTGCCATTATTCCAAAAATATCATCAAATATATCTGAAGTAGATGAGTGGGGCTTGAGTATACATCCTGCATTGCTCCTTGAAGGCTGTGTGCATGATAACCTCCTCAGTTTAGTGTATAACATTTACACTTGCACTAATCATTGTTCCTTTAATCTGGTGTTTGTTTCTTTATAATATAATAGGACTTGTTTATGTACTTTTAGAGGGTAATGTTTACCTATCAGAAATACACCACTGTGCATGTGCAGGTTACCTGCCACTTTGGCAGGAGTTTCAAAACTTCATCTTAAAGCATGACAGACATTTAAACATAAAAATATTACAAGGTCCCTTCCTTACAAATCTTTACTTACAGTGTACTGTAGGCATTTATGATTATCTGTTTATCATCCTGATTACAAATCTCCCGTGCCATTATGTCAACTTCTCGTGGGTTGTAACTGTTGTAACTTTTTACAAAAAGTTACTGTTTGGAAAAAGTTAAAAAAAAAAAAAATATATTCTCATCAGTTGTAACTTATTACTTTTGTAACTTTTCTTTAATTGTGATTTTATTTTTATGTTCAATATGAATGCAGTAGAAATATCTTTAGAAAGTAATTTACATGTACATTATTGTAATGTATACACAGCATAGTGAAAAACAATTTACTAAAGACATGTGTAAATTTTCAGATTGCTTTGACTATGAAGTCCGTTTCTACTGTGACTGCTCACAGAGCACAACAACAACAGAAATAAGCCCTACAACAACTGAGCCCTCGTCCACTACTGTGACTTCAGACGCATGCACTGTCTATATGCCACAGTATAAAATGCATGAAACTGATTGTCGCAAGTTTTATCAGGTAGAGAAAATTATCATATTTAAATATAAGGATACTATTAAAATGCCTTGATAAAGGCGAGCAGTATATCATAATTGTCTTTAAATTATCACATATTAATAATAATAATAATTAGTTTTATTGGGTACAGGAAGCCAGGGTCCATATATACTTTAGACTGGCATTGTGGTCCCTAACTATTGTAGGGCACAAATCATATATATATATTTATATATATATATATATATATATATGATATTGACCTAACTGACTGGAGGGCGCATATCATATACTGTATATATAATATGCTTACATCAAATTTAGAAGTCCTACACATACACAGGGCTCACATTTGCTTCATCAGGCCTCCAGTAACCATCCCCCGTCTTGAAAAAAATCCTGAGTCCCCTACTTTCCTTTTAGGTACTTAGAAAAAATGAGGAGCATGTCTGGCAACATGACCATGCAGTGTGTGAATGTGCAGGGTGGTCATACTAGGAGACATTGACGTTTTAACATCAGCCAATGAGTGATTACCATGTATATATCCAAGCAAAATGTGTGCTATGTGTAATTTTAAGATTTAGGCTTATATATACAGTATTGTATATATATTAGTAAGAATAAATACACAGTTTTTTTTTTTAACTCGTATATCTATACATATGTATATTTTCAAAGTTATACATAATGAGTACCATCTTTGACACATCAATGCAGCCTGTTAACATGAACAAATTAAATAAGATAGAACCAATGGAACTAATTTAACAGTGTTATTCTCGTGCTGCAACTCCCTTCATTTCAGTCCACAAAAAGCAACTTCTCCAGGCCACTATGGCTAACCACAAGAGGTAGAGACTTTTTATTTATATTTTCGTGCTTCCTGAATGCCTATTACAATGTCAAAAGAAAAAAAAAATTTATGTGTAGAGCCCCTTCGGCTCCCCGGAGCTATACCAGGCTGATGTGTATATATTAGACCATGGCAACAGTCAATCGAAGGAGTTCTAGGCCTATTGGGGACCAGAGCCAGAACCTGGCCCTCTCAAATGAGGCACGAGGAGCAATGGCCTAAAGACACCCCCGTGTAATTGGAAGCAGACTTTGTCTGCCATCTACCAGGTCAGGCACCCGGAAAGGTAGGAATTCCAAAACAAATTACTGCTGATCAAATAATTTGCAAACCAAAAGCCGAACTAGCACCAGAACTCTCCAATCAAAACCAAGGAAACAAGTATGCTGTATGATGTCTCAAGATAACCTCACCACACACACCGTCCATCTGTGTGCGCAACCCCCTGCTCCCCGGGAGGGGGATGGGGGGTCCCAGACCTCCATGCTGGCAACTCTCCTCAGTTCACAGGCTGTTGTGAGGGCGAACGGTCAATTGACTCTGGCTCCATCCTTTGAGCAGTGCTGCAGTGCGGTGTTGTTGTTGTTCAGTTTTGGTATCGTGCGAGCCAAGAGTAACACGAGTACTGGGGCTGCATGCACCTAGGGCTGCCTTACCTAGGTGCCCTATAAGTACTACCCTTATGGCTTCAGGGTTATTTTCCCTGAGCCGTTCAGGAACTACCTCCACGTGGTTCTGTTGCTGCTCGGTGATTGCTCACCCTTGGTGTTCTGCTGGAGTGGTTCTTGCTCCTGATTTTTCCTTGGGAAGGAGATAGTTTCGCCGCTGGCTGGGGCGAGGTACTGTGCAGCTGTCTGATATATGCATAGCAACCGGTTCTGTTCACCTGGAGACGTTGTGATTTTGTGGGTTTTTTCTTTTCTTTTTGTTTTGTTTTGCCTGGCAGGAGTCTGCCAGGTGTGGCGGTAGGACCACTTGTATGTTTTTGGTGGCCCTCCACTAGGTCCCCGTGCTTGCACATGTCGCAGGGGTTCAACTTTTAGTTTGTTTGCTTGGTAGCTCTGGGATAACCGGTTAGCAGTACCTCGCCTGGGCTTCCCTTAGCAGTCAGCCTAAGGGCCCTGGAAACCCCCATGGTGGCTCAGTGGTCTGAAGGAGGAGACCTCAGAGTCCCACCTCACCTTGTGCGAGTTTGAAGGTTGCTCTGTCCCCTTGACTCAGGGTGACACTCACCGTCTGCCTCCGTCATGCTGCTTGTTGGGTCAATGACACCTTTGACCCGGAGTCCTGCGAGTGGTGTTCCTTGTTTGTACTCCAATTCACCCAGTCCAATGAGATTGATTTTCGGGTGCCAGCAGCTTTGTCGTTGCATGCAAGGTTTAGGTTGCTGCAATGCGCAAGGTTGGTTGTCTTTCCGGATGCCCCGCAACTTCCCCGTTTTTGTTATAGGGACCCGGACTTGGGGGTGTTAGTCGCCTTGACTTTGGTTTCATCTGCACCCCCCAGTCCCTTTCTTGGGCGTTGTTTTACCTCCGGCCTGCTCATACGCTGCCTGAGCCGTTCTGATCATTGGACAGGGTGCTCTCTTTTCTATCTTCTCCTCGGTTTGTGGTGGCCCCCTTGGTTCTGGACTGTTTTTCTAAGGCTCTTTTCTTGTTGGCATTGGCCTCTGGGGATCGGGTCGGGGAGCTTCATGCCCTCCTCCGGCGCAGGGGTTTCTGCTCTCTCGGTCCTGGTGGTCGTTTCATTCGGTTGCAGCCTTCTTCTTTTTTGGCGAAGAATGAGTCTGGTGCTTTTCGAAGGGGTCCTTGGGTTGTTGATGCTTGGTTGGTTCGGCCGGGTGTGCATCATGTTTTGTGTCCGGTTGCGGCTCTTCGCCGTTATATGCATGCGATGACCTCCGTGGCAGGGGATGCGCTTTGGGTGGATCCGGTTTCCCTTCTTTCCTGTTCCAGGGTGCCGGTCTCCCAGGTCGTCTGCAGGATTATTCGGTCCAGCCAGCCTGTGGTCTATCCCTGTGCCCACGATGTTCGTAAGTTCGCGGCTTTGGCTGCTGTTTTTGGGAATATGTCCTGGGCTGACATTCGAGCACGGGGTTTTTGGAGGTCGAACATGGTCCTGGCTGCACGGTATCTCATTAATGTTCCTGGACCTTCTCGGGCGTGTGTAGCCTTGGGTCACAGGTTGCAGCCAGTTGTCTCGACTTCAAGTTGAGGAGCGAGTGACGACCGCCTCATGGGTAAGTCCCTCTTTTTCTTTATCTTTGGTTAGGTAGCTCTGGGGAGCTGAAGGGGCTCTCCACAGAAAACCAGCGTTGAATGTAATGAAACGTCATTTTCTGGGTGAGACCCGGAGGCTCCCTAGCTGGCATCCCTCCCTCCCTCCAGTTGGCATTTTTTTCGCGTTTTTTGATACTCAGCCTCTGAACTGAGGAGAGTTGCTGGCATGGAGGTCTGGGACAACCCTGTCCCCCCCAACCCGGGGAGGAGGGGGGGGTTGCGCAGACAGATGCTCAGAGTGTTTGGTAATTACCTAAGTGTAATTACCTAAGTTTAGTTACAGGATGAGAGCTACGCTCGTGGTGTCCCGTCTTCCCAGCACTCTTTGTCATATAACTCTTTGAAACTACTGACGGTCTTGGCCTCCACCACCTTCTCCCATAACTTGTTCCAACCGTCTACCACTCTGTTTGCGAAAGTGAATTTTCTTATATTTCTTCGGCATCTGTGTTTAGCTAGTTTATATCTATGACCTCTTGTTCTTAAAGTTCCAGGTCTCAGGAAATCTTCCCTATCGATTTTATCAATTCCTGTTACTATTTTGTATGTAGTGATCATATCACCTCTTTTTCTTCTGTCTTCTAGTTTTGGCATATTTAATGCCTCTAACCTCTCCTCGTAGCTCTTGCCCTTCAGTTCTGGGAGCCACTTAGTAGCATATCTTTGCACCTTTTCCAGTTTGTTGATGTGCTTCTTAAGATATGGGCGCCACACAACTGCTGCATATTCTAGCTTTGGCCTAACAAAAGTCGTGAACAATTTTTTTAGTATATCGCCATCCATGTATTTAAAAGCAATTCTGAAATTAGAAAGCGTGGCATAGGCTCCTCGCACAATATTCTTTATGTGGTCCTCAGGTGATAGTTTTCTATCTAGAACCACCCCTAGATCTCTTTCTTTATCAGAATTCTTTAAAGATTTCTCACATAATATATAGGTTGTGTGGGGTCTATGTTCTCCTATTCTACATTCCATAACATGGCATTTATTAACATTAAATTCCATTTGCCAAGTGGCGCTCCATGTACTTATTTTGTCCAGGTCTTCTTGAAGGGCATGACAATCATCTAAGTTTCTTATCCTTCCTATTATCTTAGCATCATCAGCAAACATGTTCATATAATTCTGTATACCAACTGGTAGATCATTTATGTAGACAATAAACATCACTGGTGCAAGAACTGAACCCTGTGGTACTCCACTTGTGACATTTCTCCAGTCCGATACATTGCCTCTGATCACAGCCCTCATTTTTCTATTAGTCAGAAAATTTTTCATCCATGTTAGAAGCGTACCTGTCACTCCTCCAATATTTTCCAGTTTCCAGAACAACCTCTTATGTGGAACTCTGTCGAAAGCCTTTTTTAGGTCCAGATAGATGCAGTCAACCCAACCATCTCTTTCCTGTAATATCTCTGTTGCTCGATCATAGAAACTGAGTAAATTCGATACGCAGGATCTTCCAGATCGAAAACCATACTGTCTGTCTGATATTATATCATTTCTCTCTAGGTGTTCTACCCATTTAGATTTAATTATTTTTTCCAATATTTTGACTATTACACTTGTCAATGATACCGGTCTATAATTAAGGGGGTCTTCCCTGTTTCCACTTTAGTTGATTGGAACTATGTTAGCCTTTTTCCATACATCAGCTACAACTCCTGTAAACAGGGATGCCTGAAAAATCAGTTGAAGAGGAATGCTGAGCTCAGGTGCACATTCTCTCAGAACCCATGGTGAAACTCCATCTGGACCAACTGCTTTGTTCTTATTTAGCTCCTTGAGCATTTTTTCCACTTCGTCTCTAGACACCTCTATGTGCTCTATGTTGTTCTCTGGAATTCTTATTGTATCTGGTTCCCTGAAGATTTCATTTTGTACAAACACACTTTGGAACTTTTTGTTTAATGTTTCACACATTTCCTTTCATTTTCCGTGAATCTATTTCCCATTTTCAACCTCTGAATATTATCCTTTACCTGCAATTTGTTGTTTATGAATTTATAGAATAGACCTGGTTCTGTTTTACATTTGTCTGCAATCCCTTTTTCAAAATTTCTTTCTGCCTCTCTCCTCACTGCCGTGTAGTTGTTTCTCGCATCTTTGTATCGCTGGTATGTTTGGGGGTTCGGCCTCTTCCTGTATTGATTCCATTTTTGTGTCTTTTGGTCTCTGGCCATTGTCTCCTTGTGCCTCTCTTGAGGGGGCCAGGTTCTGGCTCTGGTCCCTGGAAGACCTAAAACTCCTTCGATTGACTGTTGTCATGGTCTAATATATATACACATCAGCCCGGTATAGCTCCAGGGAGCCTCCGGGTCTCACCCAGAAAATGGCCTTTCATTTCATTCAATTTTTTTTTTTTTTTTTTCATACCAGGTCAGCATTAAACAGTTGTGCACTGGAAGCTAATGTCAAACTGCTGACCTTCCCAGGATGCAGCCCAACAACAGTTGCCTAACTCTTGGGTATCTATTTACTGCTAGGTGAACAGAGGCATCAGGTTAAAGAAAACATGCTCAACCATTTTTGCCCTACCCAGGAATTAAACCAAAGATACCCAATTGTGAGTCAAGAATATATGTTAGACTCCTCAATATGTGCATGGTGCTGCCTCTTGGTTGGCATGGGTGTACCTCACTGTGATTACTTCACTTGTCACATTACAGGTAATGGATAAATAAGAAAACATAAATATCCATGACAAGAAATAAACAAAGATCTATTAAAGCTTACTCTTTACACAAGCTAGCAGGAGTCTTGAGCATCCTATTGTTGTCCAAATTTAAAATGGGAAATACTTATGGACAGAATCAGGATATGGCATAGAAGGTTGACTAAAAGATATTTAAAAGTAAACGATGATGAATCTTTATATTGAAAGTGGCCTTTTCCAGTTAAACATTTATTTAATATTTGAAATATAAAATGCCTATGAGTTCATCAAGCCTCAGTTTAGTGCAGAAAACAGGAGATGCTTTTTCACCCCACAGGATTATAAACCCATGGAACTGTCTATACATTGAAGCTGTAAATGCCAAGGCATTACTGAATTCAATATCCACCTGGAAAAAATCATCAGGGAGAATAGGACGACCTTTGACAAGCTGCTGGCTTCCTGTCCCTTGTTGAGATCACTAGAGATATGCTGATCCTCGGGTAAATTCAGGTAATTCAGGTAAATAAAAACTAGGAGGCCAATCCTTTACAAATTTGTACAGATAGTGTATATCCTGGCTGACCTTGAAAGGCATTCTACAGGAAAAGTTAAATTCAGTTACTGAACAATGGCCACGAAAGGAACACTCACATTTATTTCTATAATGCATCAAATTTATTACCAAGTTTAAATTTATAACAGTACAAAATCACATGTGACCTTATTTGGTATGTGTGATGGTAAATTGAGCTCTCTCTCTTTTCAAGTGTTCCAGCACATCTCTGACCGGGATGACGTATGTCGTCAAGGAATGTGGTCCAAGTACTTTCTTCAACCCAGAAACCCTCACCTGTGATTTTGAGTATAATGTGATACAAGTGAGACAAGAATGTATTGGTAAGTTAATTGCCACTTGTTTATTTTTTCTTCTAATGTGTACTTTCTGCATATCAATTTATGGATTGAAATTAAAGTTCTGTAATTGCAACTTGAGTTTGATATAAGCTGTGCTTTACTAAATCTTATTCAGTATTTACCCGAAACACTTTGTGTAATAGTGATTTCATTAGTACTGTGTAACTCCTGTCCCTAGAATTGTACATTACTCTTATGTTCTTTGTATACACATTCTTTGGAATAAACATCATTATCATTATCATATTTGACTAATATAAATATTTTCATCTATTTACCTCAGTAGTTTAAGTTATGTTTTGTTTATTATATAACCTTAACCATAAGGCATTCAAAATAATAATTATGGCTTGATTTGTTTACTCATCAGACTTAAGTATTATGGTTTTCAATTGTTGTGGCTCACTGCTTGTTTTCTCACTAATATTTATTTATTTATTTATTTTATTTATTTATATATTATTATATTCTTATGATTCTTATTTATATATTATTATATTCTTATGATACTGGTAAGCACTGATGAGTACCTTTTAACTACTTCCTTTGAAACTAGGCCAGACCTAAATTTCTTTTCATATTCATGTTTTTTGTTGATTGATTTAATTATGCCACTTGTGAGCCACGGGTTATTTTTTCTTTTATCAGTTACTTGTTTGGTAAGGAGGGGGACAGTGAGTGTTGTAGAGGCTTAGAGTTTTGGAGAGAAAGAGGTTAGTTGATGAGTTTATATCCTGTGTATTATTAAATTCAGATTCCCAGTTAATATTGTGAAGTGCATTAGAGAGATTGCCTAAAGCTGATTCATTATGTAGCCTGAATGAGAGTTTCTTGGTTTCTGGTGGTGATGTGTCCAAGTTTGCTATGAGGAAGGTAGGATAGTGGTCAGTTGTTCTGTCATAATAAGAAACTTTCCGTAGAGACTTGTTTTTCCCTACATCTTAACACTTGTCTGTAGTGAGGCATCAGTGTCATTGAAAAGGTTAAGGCAATGGCCTACTGCCGCTTGATTTGGGTGAGTTGTTTTAACAAAACTTTGCATTTCCTCCCATACTGCACACCACTTCTTTATTGTTGAGGAAGGGACATTCTGCACTGCCTCCTCCTCCCCCTCCCTCTCCCCCCCCTCCCCCTGAAGACCCATGACCCATAGGTCACTTTCTTGGGACCCATGGCATGGTATATAATACTTTTATGTTGAAAAACCAAAAGAGCTGAAAAAATGAAATTCTTTACAAATAATTCAAGCGCGATTGTCACTTGGCGGGAGGCACTGGTAAACTAAAGCGTGGTTGCCCATGCCACCAAGAACCATGCGCTCGGTCGATCCGTATGTGTATCAACAAATTCACAAAATGAAGCAAAGCTCGTAAACCGATTCAAATTATACGAAGAAATTGAGCTCGTAGCCCAAAAAATTTGTAAAGAGGGACATTCTGTAACCGAGGTTCCACTGTATTCTACTTTATCGAGGTTCATTAAGCCTGGGTTCTGGGATGACATAAGTGTCAAAAACATTACACAGCATTACTATGAAATTACGGTAGGGGAAAATCAGGGCCAATCTTGAGCTGCAATTCCGTGCTTGCAGTACTAAGGAGGGTCCATATACAATCCTCCACAAACCAAGCACAAGACTTGATGAACCTTAACCTAACATAGTCACCCATAGATGAAGGATGGTGATGGCCTGCCAGTGATGGAATATAAAGAAGAGTTATAAAAGTGTCACCCAGGAATAACAAGCAATGCCACAGCAAATTACAAGCAAATCACAAGCAAATTACACAGTTCATGAATACTATATTCAGAACATAGTAACTTTGTGTAACTCATTTAGCTTCATAATTTTTTGTTATTTTGTTTGTTTCCTTTTATCACATATGTCTACACTGTCATTTTTTATAACATTTTATACTGGTCTCAGATGCAAAATGAAAAGTAATTATTAATAATTATTGAACAAACACAATAGTTCCTGTAAGACATTATCCTGTGAAGTGTGTATTATAAAGAGAAAGTTCATACTAATATTTATCAATATCTTAATCTATAGCAGCAACAACAACACCACCAAAATATGCCGTCTCAGATGAACCAACCACTACAACAAAGGAGCCGTGCACTGGGGACTACTGGACAGAATGGTTCAATGTTTCACACCCTGATACAGACCGAGGAGACTTTGAAACATTTGATAAGATCCGTGAGAAAGGCTTC